GGGGGGGGGGGGGAATCTGGCGATTTGTTGTCCGACAAAGATTCCGTAAAATATGCTCCGCGACATGCATCTCGTACGCGTTCCGGAACGAGCGGACGGTCAATGGAAAGCAGCGGAGAGATAGATCAGAGAGAGAGAGAGAGAGACCGGAGAGAGAGGGAGAAGAGGGATATTTGCAATTCCAATCCCATCTTCGACCTCGTCTCTCGCGCAACCTCCACCTCCATCCCTCCCCCCGTTCCTTCCCGACACGCTCTTCCGAGGGACGTGGACGTTTCTCGCGTGACTTCGCCGGCCGCGGAATGTTCAACGGCGGACGCAAAAGCGCGACGGTTCGCCAGATCGCGATACATCACTGCCCGCCGGCGAGACATGTCGCGAGTTTTTCGCGAATCTCCCTGCGCGCGGGCGGCCCAAATAAAAGAGTGGTTCATTCGTTCGCTCGCGCGCACGACTCTTTTAACTTTCCTTCCCCGAGTTTCTCGTGTAACTCGCGTAAGATACCGTTTAAAGTATCCCGGACGTTTCTCTTCTGTTTCAATTAATTGGAAAGTGTCAACAAAGATTTTGCCCGAGAAGATATATTGTGTCAATTTGAAAAGAGAGAGAGAGAGAGAGACGTGCGTGTATATGTAGTTGATTTTTCATTTATGGAGGTTCTTGAAATGAATTCTTTCCTCTTCTAGGATATCGCGTGTACAAAATATATCCGAACTCCACCGACAAGCTTGTAGGACAGATTTTTTGTTGAAAAATAAGTAAAAAAGACTTAGTAAATATATGTTCGCAAAAGCCTGGTTTTTCAGATGTAGCCCTCAGAAGGTGACAATGATGAAAGATTTTTTATCTTTCTTTTGAAAAGGGTAATTTTTTTATGTTATTATTTGTAAAACGCGATTGATGAACAAAATATATTTCAAAACTGAGACTGCGGTAGCTACATTTCAGAATATAACGCTCGAGGGCGTATGTTTACTAAGACTTGTTTTTCTTTTACTTGCTTCTTTTTTTTTATGTCGAATCTATCCTTGGAGTTTGTCGGTGTAGTTCAGATAAACTCCGTATTGTGAATACAATATATGGTAATAGTATTTTCTCCAGTGAATATTTCGTAAGTTCATTGGAGAAACCAGATGTTAATCCTCACAAAGTAATGTAATTTTTAACTAACGATTAATGGTTTTCCCTCTTAAATATTTACACACAATTGCCATTTCGAAACCGGAGGGTTTTCAGAAAAACTCTCTATTGCATCGCCGTACTGACGCACGCTTCCTGAATAAAACGAATGCAATTAACGGAATTTCACGTTCACGAGATTGATCGGCATCGAACCGCAGGGGAGAATGTGGAAAAATATTCACGTTATCGGTTGAACAGTATTGCAGATCCCGAGACGCATTAGCGCTACACACGACGCATGGAGCCGTATAAGAATGCTGCTTTAACGAGGGACGACAATGCTCGACATTCGCAAGCGTGCCCGAGAACTGTACGACATCATCGTCAGTAGAAATTTGATTCGCGACGTGTCAACGGAGCTAACAGGAAGGTGAAATTATTCATTTATTTGCCGCAATAGAGAGAGAGAGAGAGAGAGAGAGACGAGGAGAGAGAAAATATATACGCGTTTTTGTGAAAGCGAACACGCATTGTGAGCGCGCGAGATACGGCGAGAGATGTACGAGAATGAGGTATCATCATCGCGCCCTCCATCCATCGCGGATTTTCAAGTCCTTTTCGCCCCACTTAAGCGGTTTTATGACCCCCGGTCTGTCTCTCGTTCTTTTTTCTTCATTAAACTCGGTTGCGCGATGTCTTGTTAAGGGTGGGACTCCGTCGATAAATACACAAGCACCGAGGGGCATCCGCCTATAAATTCTTCCTGTTTTCCGCACACGTATTCCATCGTCGACCATCTCTCTAGCATATTTCATTTCCTCCTCTGTCTACTACTCGCGGGTCCCTCCTTCCTCCTGTACGTTCCCGTCTACCAGGAGAAATAAATTAAAATAGAAATTTGCAATTTCCTGCGCGCTCCTGGGAGGTCAATTCTATCCACTTCCGACTTGCCCTCCCAGCTTGATTCAATTCGCTTCCGCGCGCGTCGACTTTCCCGGTATAAAAATAAATCTCGTAAGTTTTGACGGCGCTAACGAGCAAGAATAATTGATCAATTTATCCATTAAGACGAATGATTCCACTCGCCCAGTTCGATCGTATTCATCCGGTCTCTTCTCCCCTTCCCCTCCCCCGTCTCGCTCCCCTTTTACGAAATACGAGAGCTTGTGTTGAACTCCGCGATCCCGGATCCTTGATTCCGGTTTTCACGATCGGAAGGATTTTCGAATCCTTCGCCATTTGCATTTGTGGGAAATTGCCAGCGTTTCAGAAATTTACGGTCCTCCCTTAATCTACGAAAGTTCATTTTACCGCTCTGGATTGGCGATATTGATAAAACTAGTCTCGATAAATGTTGCTTCAAATGAATTTATTCGCACAAATCTCGCGTAATCGTGCGATCGAGCGAACCGCACGGTGAAAATAATATTGACGAGATAAGCCGATCGTTTTTGGCAACGATACAGATAGGCATGATAAGGCGAGATTATATTACGGCGATTATCGTGTAATAATAACAGAACGACGCTGCCGCACGCGACGATCGACGCTTGCCGGACCGCACTTTAATCCTTTAAGGCTCACACATCGATTTCGTTAAAATAAAATCTACAATTGTTATTTATTACTCGAATTTTTGCGTTAAATTTTGAACATATCCGTATGCGTTAATTTAACATATTACGTTTATGTTATTTCAACATTTTGTGCCAATATTCAACATGTGTAAGCGTTGAAGTAACACATTTTATACTTCAGCGTCGATTAACGTATCAATTTTGTATTCATTTTTGACGTAATATCTGTATTACTTTCAATATATTCACTTTATCATAAACACAATTAACACCAAAATTTGAGTGGACCGTTTGAGACAAGTGAAGTGTCTCAAATTTAACAGAAAATTTCTTACTGTGTATCTGCGTGTATTGTATATATCAATCTTCAGCTGGGAAGACACTGTTTCACGGGTTACGACGGAGAATGTAGCTTCATTTAAGATGAATTGATAATACTATATCGACGGAGCCATTACTCTGCCAACGGGCGAGATTTTGTGAAAAGTCCAAAGTTAATTGTGTACTATTACGAACACTTTAAAGAGTTAAATGACCGTAATCAAACGAGCGTATCGTAGATACATTGTTATCTGCGCTCGAGAAATTAAATCGGGAAAGATATCGCACGAGAGATTAGCGCGCTCGATCGATGCTGGGTGTCGGGAGTCTTCGATTAAGACCATTAATTTTAATCTCTCTCGAATTTCATTACAAAGCGCCGGCCAGATCGCGCGGAGAGGCCGAAGCTCGCTCGCTCGCTCGCGCGCGNGGGGGTGGGGGGGCGGTACGTCGCGCTACATAATTTCGGATTCTCGCTGGTTAACGCTGGCCGCGCGATAAGGAGCGCGCTCGGCGCAGCGAAGCGAACTGAAATTTCGAGCTGAAATAAGTGATCGCGCGGAAGCCGTTATTAAGATTGCCACGGTGGATCGGCCCCGGCTGTCTGGCATTTTGACGAGGGATAAGCGCCCGGGATCAAACATTCATATTCTAATTCCGTAATACCTCGGTATTAGACAGTAATTCACCGGTAATACACACAGCGCGATACGCGTATTAAATTATTCGCAACATCCGCGTGATGATTTAAAGGAAGTCTCACGCGCGCGACTGTTGCTGTTGTGCGCGCGGCTTGAATTCCGAGAGTGACTTCCGAGTGTACTTCCGCTCCCACGTCGGCGGAAGGTATTCTTCAAACGTTCAAAATTCGTCGTGGAGGACAGATCGACACGAATATCACCGCGAGCATCGCGCGGATTAATGTGAACACGCCGCGGTCGGACGATTAAGAAGAATACCACTGATATAATATTGATATCGATATTTTTCTCTGAATACTGGATACTTTTGCATCGGTATTTTCTTTATATTCATACCCGTATCAGCGCTACTTTGTCTCGATATCTTTTTCCGATATCCCGATTTTTTACTCAGTCGATCTTTAAGATATCGCGCATTTTTGCCTCATGAAAGTCAATGCAATTTGCCGCTCACGTTTTAAATCGATCTTTTCTTATGATTTCCGTTACGTTAATCTGTTACGATTCCTTATTGATTGCTGAAGTAAAAGAAAAGCCTCCGGACATTTTTACACGTATACGGAGTCCGATCATGAGTGACTTGACTTTGCGCCTATATTGTTTTATTCCCGCGTATACCACAATCATTTTTAGCGTGCGATTTCTCGCTTCTGACGTCATCAAACGAGAACAGTCATAGCGAGGAGCCTTAACGCTTTTTCTTCTAAAGTTTTAAGATCATAAACCGTAAAAAGTCTAGTGAAGGTAAAAGTAATTTTAAACCATAGTAAGATTATTACACGAAATTATACATACGAAACCTCGAAGAACAGCTTATAAGATAAACACTTTCCCGATTTTTATATTTCCTCCAATTTAAAATATTCGACCCCGATATCGGTATTATTGTTCTTATTACTGATATCACTAATGATATCGCTGTTTTTGATTAGATACACTTCAATAATAGTAACGACACTTTCATAGCATCGCAACATTCCTAATAACGAGGGGATTTTTGCCGTGATCTCGAGGGATAACGCTCGCGCGATTTTCGATCGGCGCTATCGATCCGTCGGATCGATGCCTCCGCGGAGGTGGAGGCGGAGGGAACGCGCAGCGGAGCGCGTAGCCGCCGGCACGTCAATGAGGCGGTCGGCTGTGCCCATCCTGTGCCCATCGCGCACAGCAATTATTGTCACGGCCCGTGACTGTCCGTGCTCGGTCCACGTTCGAGCACTTTTTGCGAGCCCCACCATTCGCATAAACACCACCACGCTTGCCGCGCACTTTGCCGCTTTTAGTCGCTACTTAACCGTCCTATCGCTCGCGACGACGAGCCACCGGGACGGGGCTCTCGGCTCTCCTCGCTCGCTCGAAGGGGGCCACGCGTGCTTACGCGTTATCGCGAAAGCTTGAATTACGGCAAAGCATAAAACACGAGCGAGATGCACCGGTCGCGTCAATTGCGTCAACGAGCGTCGCGCGGACCGCTCGCCCTGTTTCCACGCCGAGGCGAATAAAATCGGCTCGCCCGGATCCGATGAACCAACCTCGCCGAGAAAGAGAGAGACAACCTCGCATATACGAAGCCAGCCAGCCAGCCGGTCGTCAAACGCGTCACGAGTCGCGAGACGCGTGGAGAAACGTCAGTGGAAAGGTTCGCGTCGTCGCCGACCCTGAGAGCGCTAACGCTCACGCTAACGAGGAGGACAAAGTTGCGCACCTTCGTGCTCTCTCTCTCTTGCCATCCACTACGACCTGGGTGCGAAGAATCGGCTCGAACCGGAGACGTGAGCCTCGGGGAAACAGCAGTCTGGTAAAAGCGGGCCAAGGTGTCAAAGACGTCAATCGTCGCAACGTATTAGCGTCGTAATAGTCGTCCCTGTCGCGTGACGGACCCGTCACGAGACTCGCTAACGATCACGTTAACGCGGCGGACGCGTGATCCCAGCGACGGTCGCGCGCAGTTCCTTCAGCGTCGTTCAGCGACCGCGCTCTCCCGGCTTTCCTCGATCGCGTTTAATAGCGCGACCGGAGCCGAATCGGAGCCGGTCCCACGGCGACGACGGATCAGTTTCGAGCGCGTTCGAAGAGGGGCCGCACACGACTCGTCGCGCTGCTGAGTCGCGCGCTGAGTCGTTAGCAGAGAGCGGAAGATGGACATCGACATGACCGGCAGGATGAGCAGAGCCGGCGAGGAGTTGACCAAGAGGCGGGTGTCCATCAGCGATCAGATCATGGGGCTCGATAATCCCGGCTTCGAGCACCATCGGCGCATCAGCGCGAGCTCCGAGCACAATTCCGAGCAGAGCAGGCGGAAGTCGATCCTCCACCACGGCGGCGTCAGCCATTGCGACAGCGCGGAGAACATTCCGCAGTACAAGCTCGATCTGGAGAACGGCCGGATCAACGGTAACCGGAAGAAGTCCGCCTACAGCCTGTCCAGCTCGATCCGCGACAAGATCGAGTATTCCGAGGAGCTCGAGAGGTGAGACCGCGTTATTTCGATAAGACTCCCTCTCTCTCGCGTCTGTCTGTCGATGTGCCGCGAATGTAAAGCACGATAAAAGGGGATAGCACTACCTTCGCAGGCCGTTCTCTCAGGTGCTCAGGTGCTAGTCGGACGATTGCATCGGGACTCTCGTTTACGTCGCGACAATGACGCGTAAGAACGACACCAAGTGCAAGGAGAGACGACGGCACCGTTCGTACTGCGAACTCTACGTTAACGCCGTCCCATTCCTCACGCATACGGTTCTTCCCTTCTTCTCAGCTGAACCGGCCGCACTAGTTCGAGAAATTCACATACACTTTGAAGCGTACGAGAGATTCTCACGCGCTTCGGTGTGCGAAGATCCCTCGAACAAGCGCGGCCCGGCTCAGCTGAAGAGAAAGTTGGACATTAAAAAAAAATTGAAATTGAAAGTTTCCAATTAGGCGCGTTATTTTTTAATATTCGCGCATCACGACCGTTGCTTCGGAGAGTCGTTGCCGTCAAGTGATCGACAGTCACGAATGCGCGAATGACGGCTTCCGATTAGACATTTTCGATGTTGCCTTGCCCGAAGAATGGGACGGTATTAATGGAGTCCGCTGTAGTTCCGTTTGAGGAAGCATCGAATATATACGGTCATTAAGAATCGTGCACCTCGTTGCAGGCAGGAAAGATAACGCGAGTCACGTTGTAGTGAATGAACAAGTGGAGCAAACAATGTCCTCCGTCGTGGACGATAATAGGCGCCGCTGCTTTTCGCGCACGTCATTCCGTCATCGCGAGCTTCTTCTAATTCAGTCGCTCTCGTCCGTTCATCGGAATCATCCCGAGAGAGCGATAAAATGAACTTTCGACGCGAAGATCCCGTGTTTGTCACGTTTCCCACCCTCGCGATATTCGTTCCTATCGTGGTCATACCGTGAAAGTCCGCTCGTTTCCGAAAAACAGCGCAAAACGGACGCAAAACGGGCACATGGAATAAATGGATCAGCTGTCCGCATGATACAACTGAAATTCAGTTACCAGATCCGATTTTGAGCTATGGGAACTAAAAAATTGGAGCTGTTAATCATGGATAATTTTGAAACTTCGAAACTTCGAGGGAAATTCGAACTTTCGAGTTTTGGTCGAAGGCGAAGCTTCGAAGGTTCGTTTTCAGAGGTCGTAATTTCTTCGAAGTTTCCAAGCTCCGGAGAATACAATCTTGTGAGTGCTGCAGACTAATGTCTACATATAATTTACTCAGGGAGTATTGGGAAACGTTGTAAATGAACTTTTGTAAACGAACGGATGTACTAGACATTATACAGCGTAGCTTGAAAATCTCATGATTCCGATGTTCCGAAGCTTCGAAATTTTCGAAATTCGAATAACGAACACCGAAGCTTCGAATCTTCGGAGATTCGACATTCGGATGTCAAAGTCTTCGAAAGAAAACACCGGTCCTAACTAAAAATTAGACGGAGAGACAAAAGAATTCGCTAAATCAATCAAGCCGAATTCCGGTTGTATTGCGGACAGTTGATTTTTACCCGTAGAAGAGCCAGTTTTTAGCTGCGGGAGCTGCTCCCTTTTGCCCGTGCAACCCTTTCCATCCCATTGGGCGTTTCTCTCCTCCCCGCAGCGCGCTTCGTCGCTGAAACGAAATATATCCCTCGCCGCGTGATTCTCGCCGCGGATTTTATCGGTACCTCGGATTGGTGAGGCCGTTAAAATTATTTGCGTTAGCAAATGAGACATTCAACTTCGTAATGTATCCTACTTTATGCCTATCATCGCGTGTTCTTGATAGCGGCTATCTGCGTGACGGAATTTAAAGCGCTTCTTACGTTTGCACACCGCCGTTTTCCATGATTCCCCGACGCGATGGGACGATAGTTCTTCGCGCGTTGATCGCGCGCAGATCGGCATAGAATTCACGGAGCATCCGAAAAGCACAACGTTCGAGCGAACATTGCAACGCAGCAGCCAATAGCGCGCGCGAGTTTCCTTCGGAATGCGCGTCCGGTAAATTAGCGGCTAATTGCATCGTCAATCGCGAGTTTCGCGTTTCGCCGGGCGAACGCGTCCCTCCTCTTCGATTCCCGGCACGGCCCGGAACGATGGCGTTATTCGTCGGTCTGAAATTCTGAATTCTGAAATCATTACTCGCGCACAGACGCGTAATGGGCGGTCTAATAGGCTGACGCAGCGTTCGCTCGCTCGCGAAATACCGACGCGCGCAGCGGCCGCGCGATAAAGGAGACAAATACCCATTATTATTACTATCAATATCGCGCCGGTATCTTATTCGGAATCTACGCTAGTTTATCAGCTACGAATTATCTCGGCGATTAAACCCACGGATTACTTCGTAACCCTCGCAGCTCTCGGGGCGAGCCGCGAAGCACTCGAGGCGTTAATCCGTCACGAGCGAGCTCGCACAGCTCGAACGAACCCACCGCGGTATGTAAAACAGGCGAACGAGGAAAGAGAGATAGCGCCTATTACGCGTGTCGCGACTAGATAGCTCCCTATAACGCGATCTTCCCGCGGCAATCTAATTCCGCGTCCGTCCCGATGCGTTAGGAAACGCAGCGTCTGTGCGTGCAGGCAGGAGAGACGAGATAAACTAATCTCTTCGTTTTACCCATGCCCGTCCCTCTCTCTCTCTCTCTTCCTCCCTCGACGTTCTCTAGGTCGTGGTTGTATCTATTTTGCGCGCGATGTCACGGTCGCGACGACACACCGTCGTGGGAGCCGCCGGGATGGAGAAGAGCCTGCCCGCAACCGTTCTGCCCGACGTACCGGAAGTTCGCGCGGGTCCTCTGCCTCTTCCTGCTCGGCCTGCTGCTATGGGGCATCACTTACTCGGTGATTGGCGCAGACGCGGCACCGGGCGGCCCGCTCTTCGCCTTGGCCTTCCTCTGCATAGCCGCGCACTTCGGAGGCTGGCTCATCTCCCTGACCACCTTACCGGCCTTGATCGGCATGCTCGTCACCGGCCTGATGCTGCGGAACACGGGACTCGTCCGGATCGGCGGAGAGTACTCGGTGGTGGTCTCTAATCTACGGTGAGTATCCCTCTCCGAGGGATTTTCTTTCATATTTCATCGGAGAAAAGAACAGGTCGCGGAGAGAGACGTAACCGCTCATTCCCCGGGAACTGCAAACGATACGGACGTACCGCGAGGTCGCCGCTGAAACGACTGTTTTTCTATCGGTTTAATTTGAAGCCCGAAGAGGGAGGCAGCGCGCGGAGATGAGCGAAGGGATGTTAATTTATAATTGGATCTGGGCGGGCATTCTTGAAAAATTCGCACTTGCCCGGACTCTCACGAGCCCTCTCGTATCCGTTGAATAATTCCGCGTATATTAAATGATTACGGAAATTAATTAATTACTTTTTGGCCCACCGGAAACCCCCCAAAAGTTTGTACCGAAATAACGCGTTTGAAAATGTCATGCCGACCCGGCGGGGTAGTTAATAACATAATTTTCGTCTCTCAAAATCTCGAAAGGTGAAAGGTGAAATTTTCGACAAAGGCCATGATAACGATTACCTGAAAGATAATATTTTTGGAGAGGCGGAACGGCGGTGATCGTGTAACCTTTTCAATGCGATATCACACACAGCTTAATTGGATGAGATAAAAACACGAGACGGAAAAACGAGAAAAAAAGAAGTGGAAACTACAAAAATTCACCGGCGAAGTTGTTGATTACACCGTGTAATTTTTAGTGAAATCTCGCGTATCGGGGTTTTATTTTACGAATTTCGCTTAATATCTCCGTAATTTATCGAGTTTTTATCATTGATCGCATTCAGATCATGCGATCTGTCGACGGGGAGCGTGTCTTTCAGCACAGGTATGCAATTTCCTCGACAACACTTCACGAGGTAGCGAGTCGTATTACAAATTAAACGACTGGAGAGGTCACACGGTTCGGAAAACGGATGAAAAGAAATACAAAAAACGAGACAGTTTAAAGAGATTCTAAGGCCTGATGTCGTATTTTCGCGGCGGCGCATCAAAGCGGCCACTTATAAATTTAGTATTTATCAAGCAAAATTATGTTCCCGTTCGTTTATTTCGCTACCTGAATAATAAGCGTTAATTTAAAACGAAGTTGAAGTAAACATGATATTACAAATACGAAAATATTATTTTTTACTTTTCTCATTAATGCTACATTTATGCATCAATTTGATTTTTGATGATTTGAATAATTTAATGCGAAATGATTTAATATACAGATAATAGAACGAAGTATATAAGTGTTTAAATGTGCGCATTATGTATATGTAATACAATTGGACACAACTGTATTTTCAAAACAAAATAGTCAATAATTCTGAAATTTGTGCATAACGTCTGCATATTAATCTTTAGTATCATAGTGGTTTGGTCAAAATCTTATTTTTAATTTAGATGATATTGGAAATAGAAGTTAAAAATGGCACGTTAGTCTCAAAGAACACGTATAAAAAGCGTCAACTTTACTTAAACATCTCAGCTCTTGAGTAGTTAATTTTTTTTCTAATTGTACGAGCAGTTAGATAATATTTTAATATACACATATAGTGCAAGTTTCATCGAATTGATCCATTTTTAATCTGAGCTCTCTGAATTACTGTCAAACTGTTTGGTGTCACTTTTAAATACAATGTAGACCAATTTGCAATTTTTTCATCAATTCGAGATACGAGTGATGTATCCTTACGTTCTCGGAGGGTTAATTTCTCATAACTCGGGGTTGATCCCGAGAATTTCTACCTCGCTGACTGACGATGCTCATCGCGAGCGGTCGTTATTTCCACTCACGTATCATTATTGGAAAGTACCGACGACGTCGACGACATCGACGACGGAGATCACGACGACCACGACGTGGGCTCGAAGGTCTCTCGAAAGTCTCCCTGGTAACAATCGACTCTCGTCGCGATCGCGAGTTAGCCGTTCTTTCTTTTTTTTTAAGGTCGAGGCCTTATGACAGCGAATCGTCGCAGACACGCACGACGATGACTTTACGCGCGGCATAACAAGTGCGGCATTTCAACGGCAATCAAATTCTATCTGCATCCTCCGTTGACAAAAGAATCGGCCGCGAGATTCACCCAGTTTCCCACACATCGACCGCCTTATCTTCGCGTGATGTCTCCTCGAGGTCCCGGGACTACTTTGTTCTTCTGGGAGAGCTATTGTCTCGCTCATTCGCGTCTCTCAGACACGAGTATCAATCAACCTGAATGCGCATCTTTAGCTTAGAACGCGGCCGATCGCGATCTTCGTCTGGACGTGAGAGACGACGAGAGAGAGACGTGCGGTATGAAAAGTCGCAAGCTGACCTTCGGCTATCCGACTCTTGCGTATTTGACCCGCTTTTCTGTGAGCCGGACTTATCAGATGCCGTAGGTAGTTACGATAGCCAGGACTGACGATAGCCCGTCCCACTCCCTGGTGGCGATCCTCCGGGACTAATCTGCTGCGGGATCGACTTCTCCTCCGTTTCGGGATTCAGATTTGCCGCAATCGCGTCCGGATTGCGCGCGACCGTACCACCTTCCGATTGCTCAAATTTGCCTCATGACCCGCGCGGCCTACTAACGACGGCGGCTGCCACGAAGCGCAGCTAGAATCGCTAATGTCGTGCGCTCGCGCGAGCCATCGGCCGTAGGAAATGCCGTGCCCGACCTTGCTAGGAATTTAATCGACGTGAGGACGGCTTTATCGGCTATCGGCGAAATATCGTTTCGTCTCTCCTTCTTCCTCCGTCCTTCTCTCTCTCTCTCTCTCGCCTTCGGAGAGTAAGAGGAAACGGAATATTTTATATTCAATTTACAGTAATGCAAAAGTAGTCTGTCGCGTCCGGGACGCATTATTAACTCCGGCGGAGATGCAAGAACGACGGTGAAAAGTAAGGAGGGAGGAGGAGGAGGAGGAGAGAGAAGTAACAACGGCTAGTTAAGCTCGTGAAAAATTCAAGCGAACAGTTTTACGGTTCTCATAACGAGAAATTTCCGCTACTTCTCGCGCCGTGTACACGCGCACTCGTATCGATTTCTTCGGACGTTAAATATCGCGAGATATCGCTAATAGCAGAACTATTCGATTGTTTGTCTAGAGAATAACTCGCAGCCACTTTCTCCTTGATCGTGTTTACATACGGACGCGTAACAACGCGTCGTGATCGGCTATCGTCGAATTGTATTTTCCGAGTTTATCTCCTCAAGTATTTACCACACGCACAAACACACATACCTCGAGCGCTTGACGCGAATCCAACGTTATTATCGTAATATACATTCGGTATTTCTTCACGTGACGCAATAAATACACGGACCCCCTTTTTGCTCCGACGATCGTGATACCCTTCGTAATCTCTATCAGGTTTTATTATTGACGAGCACGATTTATCGGCGAAGAATCGTTATCCTAAAATAGGAATGCGGTTTTCCCGCGACAACACTTCACGTAATTCCATACTTGAGACGCATTATAGATTAAAATACTGGAGAGGCCACACACGATATTGCGCATTGCGTTGATGAGTTATTAATGACTCGTTAAAAATGAAATAGGTCCCGACGACTGCCGCTGTTGACGTACGACGATGAGAGAGAGAGAGAGAGAGAGAGAGAGAGAGAGAAAAATCGTCCGTAAGATCATAAAAAATTGAGCGTTAGGTACTTCGGTGAAATTTGGACGAAATCGATCGCAAGTCTCGTTAATGGTTCACGGTGTGGCTACCCCTCCAGAAACGTCGATTCGCTATTCACTAAATAAACACTGAAGATAATGGCTAAGCTTAGGAAGATTTTAAGCGCGCAGTCGCGCTCGAATTATCAATACAATTAAAATATGACGTAAGGATTTCTAAATCCCGTGCTAATAGGCGTGATTTGAAAGCTGTCTTACAGTGAGATACTTAGATCTGGACTTAAGCCTGCATTAATAGTTGCCGTTTGCAACATGTCTCACATGTGAGATACTTAGATTTTGAATCTAATCCTTCGATTAAAAATGTCTGCGAAATAATTATGGTCTTTAATGGAACAACACTAAGAAACGTAATCCTTCGGGTATCCCTCGAGTGCCACCAGGATGTCTCTCGTGATTTTATATCGCGCGTGAACATACCGAACGGAATTGACGGACGGTTACGGTTTTGACCGCAGGGGGGAGACGAGGCTGTCGATAGAGCTCTGTCACACATAACGGTTAAACGTAATACCGGCTTTAACGGGCATTTACGTCGTTAGGAGGTCGTGTACGGCTAAGCTAAATGCAGTCAAATGCGATCAAACATAGGCCGCGCGTTGTAAGCGATTTGCGTACACGTTCGCTTAGGCGAAGTTACCCTCGTGTGCACACGTAAACATCCCTAGAAGCCGCGGCCCATCCCCGTTGTCCCCCTTCCATCGAGGCTGCAAGACTAATAAAGTGATCAAACCGCGGTTAGACACTTATTGACTTGTGCCAATTTAACGTCGGTCATTAAGTAATGTGTCCTAAGTACAATAGTTGGAGAATCTGAATACGGCAAGATGGCACATTTCCGATACCGTTCTCAACGCGCAACGTGTTCAGATTCAGTTGGTGAATTTTTTTGAGGTATTTCGAGAGTGAGAGACATGTGTCGCACAAATTTGCGGGGCGATGGCTTCGGTGAAAAATCTCGAAAGTTGAAACTGATAAAATGGCGCGATTAGTCTTGAAAATTGTCCACGGCGAGACGGATAAACAATGTGACATGTTTCTTTTAATGTTAACCACCGGATTTTACGGCTTAGAAATATGAGGAAATTCATCCTCTTCCTCTCTCCCCCTCCCTTTCCCGCTCACGGTCAATTCTTTCGTATTTCATGAAAACTTCCCATTTATTGCGATGTATCAACGATGCGAAGCACGTCATTCGTTTCTTCGCGTTTCTTCGTGTACTTTTTCGCCCCAAGAATCTCACGCTTCCACATCGCTAGGATATACGGGCATGAATCCGCCGTAAATATTCTTGCAACACACATACGCAGCATTCTCCGCGGACGCGCGCGCAATTTGCACAACGTGTCGGAGCGTGTCCTTCCAGATATGCTCATTTCGGAAAAATTCCTTTGATCCTGCGAGATCAAGGTAGCGAGATCACACCGTGTTTGCAACAAGCGTTCGTATTTTTTCTTTCGCATAGCTTGCAAGAACAACAGTGCCGTTTTTTACAGAATAGTATTTTTTTCATACGCATTCATCGTGATAGCGCACATTTGAAAAATTACCAATTAAAAATTAGTAAAAAAAACTCGAACAACTTAGTCCGATAGAGCTGTTCGATCTTTACACGATCTTTCTCGAGAAACGTCTCGAGACCTGGNGGGGGGGGGGGGGGGAGAGCATGTCCCGATTAATTTCTACCCGTAGTACGTAAAATTTTCAAGAGAAAATCAGAGATGTCATATTTTGGATTTTCTCGTCTTATCGCGCACAGAGCTCATAATTCAATAATATCGTGTTGCCAGGTCGATCTGTGCCTGTCAAAGATTGCAAAATATTTTTATCTTTCACGAAGGCGAAAAGAGGCCGCGCGATATCTTCGTGAAATTCCGCCGAGGCGCGTCGCTCTGCTGTTGAGGACCGACGCGACGATTCCCTCAACACGCTCTCGTTCGCTGACGCGCGAACGTCGATCGTAAATTATACGGCACGTGAGTATCGAGCCGCCTTGCGAAAGATCGTTCTGTCGTCAGCCGGCTTTGATCTACAAGGAAAACCAGAGAGGCGGACTTCACGACTCGACACAGCGAAATCACCGATCTCGATCTTGGAAAGTCTATTATCCCTCTTCCCGACGATATGCGATGCGCTTCACGGATGACGTATGCACGTTGCGGCGAAATTAATTCTCCCGGGATAAATCCGCACGGATCCCTTCTGAATCCCGTGAGATTTAAGAAGCCGAGATTTCTAACGAGCACAAAGTCATTCGGCAAGAGCGGAAAGATCGGCGAGGTGCTCTCTAAAGTGCAATCAGTGCATTATCACTGAGAAGCAGTCAATAGTCATTAATAGTCAATCCATAGTCATTAATAGTTATAAGTATAGCACTGCAAATCGGTAAAAACGAATGTCCTGATGCTAAGAATTTATGGTCTATGATTTCTACATTATGTTCAACACTTCGGACAATTTTTAGCCACGTTAAAGCTACTTTAATGTTCCTATTTTGTCCTGCACATATGTCACTGTAAGCTATAATATGTCTTTCACTTCTTAGATTTTTAAGATGTTTCAAGATGCATGAAGCTACTTCTTGGAAACCTCTCGATGCAATAGTTTCACCCCAAACGTACATGTGAACATTATCGTCATGAAAATTGTGAATACCCAAATTTAGAACGTACATATTGCGTACGTATAATATGCTACATGAAGTAGTTATAATATGCTATATGAAGTAGTTAACTTTGGATAAGATAATGCTTTTTGCAAGTCGAAAGAAAAATCGAATTATGATCTGAATTATGTAATACTAGTTCTTGATCTTGTTTTAATGACTTTCTAGCTGATTCTGCTAGCCTTAAATGGACATCATGTTCTTCCATAAGTTTATTCTTTTCTTCACTATCATCCGATGCTTTCATTTTAATGTTTAATAGGTCACATTTTTGGCGTGTATCTTTGCGCGGTTGGTGGAAATATAAATTAAAATCTTTTTTCAATATTTTTCTCTAAGTCATTAGCTGCTCATTAACTGCTTTTATATTATTTTCCTTAGAATAGAAGCTCATATAAATTAAACATTTTCTTTAGAGTTAGATCAGGATGTAGATATTTTCTATTGGGGTTATGAGATCTGGTATAATGGGATTCAAATTTGGGAAAACTTTTAATATGATTTTGAACGTGCTTTTTCTCTTTCTCAGAAACTTTTCTTGATAATCCAACCATACGCGCACGTAAATCATTTCCTACATTTGCAGAGTTTAATCCACGTTTTAATCGTCCTTCACTTATTTTAAAGGTATCCAAAAAGAATTTTTTACAGACGGAAACTTCGCCTTTTTTAAAATTTAACAAATACCTAAAACTTTAATTTTTTGGTGAACCTTTTCCGTTTTTTTGACGTCTTCGTTTCACAGCATAGCGCTCGGTAGCTTCGTATAGCAATACATTTTGTTTATTAAAATCTCCCAAATTCCAAAACTTCTCAAAAGTATTCTTTCTTTCTTCTTCTTCGTCATTTTTTATGCAAGCGTTTCGGCAATCTTTGTTTTGAAGAACTTTTGCAGGTATAATGTTTCCAGTTTCAGTATAATATCTTTTTCCTGTATTCCGTTTAATTTTTCGCACTTTTTGGATGTATGTGTCACCATTCTTTTCTCTGTTGTCATCTATATCTTCATCCTCTGATGACGAATGTTGTTCTACAATTCTCATTCTTTTTCGTTTTTTGTCGAAATCATTAGTTACTAACTCGTCTTCACTCTCTGAATTACATGGTCTTGTTGTTTTATTATTCCCCATGGGTGTAATAATTTCTATAATTTAATATTTTAAGTTTAAATTCAATTGTAAGTGTGTAGTGCGCGAATTTTTTTTCACTGCATTAATTAAACGTGCTGATTATTCAACTAAAGTAACTGTCCAAAAAGTGAGGTTAACTTTTTAAATATTAATTAATACTAATTAATTAAAATTACCTTCATCACTACCTTCGGACATTTGAAAATCCGCACTTTCGGACATTATCAATAATGGATTGGACTTAGGTCACTTTCAAAGTAATATTTTTAATTATTGAAATAACTGTGAAAATTCATGTGTCAAAAATTATCGTATACTCTGAATATATTTAACAGCAAAATATTGTTTATGACGGCTAACTTCAAGTTGTACACGTTACTACAGTCAACAAAAAACAATTGACAAATGGACTTAGGTCACTTTCAAAATAAATGGCTCATCTATTTTCGCTTACGTTATTATGAAGTCGTACGAGATCCTCTCCGTTCACGTTTTGTACACGTGCGCGCGCACACACACACACACACACACACATTCATATGCATATTCACTACAGCCGTATTATGACACGACAATTAAGTAAACATCGAGTATTCGCGTGTCGCGTAACACGTGCAAGCGTATACGACGGTATTACCAATTATCGATCCCGCGGAGGTGTAGTTTGCACCAATGTTTACTGCCACTGTTATATTTTTATTACGCGTGCACACACCGCGGTCTTCAGACACGTACCGAATTACGAGACGTATCGGGCGAATCCTTCGCGTGGCAGCCCTTCGACGTGTTCCGCGAGCTACGACACGTAAGTCCTTCCATTAACATGGGAGAATAATGAAATTTATATAGCGAGGACGCCTCTTCCCGGCGTATTTTTATTCCAAGTTATTACTCACCGCCGTTACGTGTATTAAAGCGCGCACGCGCGCTCGCGTAGGTATGCGTAACCGCACGTGTGTGTGTGTGTGTAACCGGGAGGAAAATTATTTACTCAAAATTGAAGTACGCGGAGAAATTCCCGCGCGCTATTCCATTATTCAACGGTATCGCGAGTAACGATACGATATAATGACGACGCGGCGTTAATCCGGCGGGGCGTGATTTTCTTTTCTTCCGCGGATAATTAAAATGCAACGCGGAATCTGCGAGCGGAATCGCGCGCACGGAGTTCTGCGAGTTTTTAGAGGAACGTGGGCGAAACGCACGTGTCAGGGAATATAATTAATAACATTTAATAGGAAACTTCGAAACTTCGGAATTCTCTCTTTCTTCCCTTCCCCCCCCCCCTCTCTCTCACTCTCTCTCTCTCTCTCTCGCCCACGTTGCGTCGGTATAAATTCGACGTGTTCTCCTGCGATCGAAAGGCGGACGCGACGCGCCGTCCGCGGGAAATATACTACACGGTCGCCCCCTCCCCCCTCCACCGCCCACGAGTGCGACTTCGTAAACCTTTCCCCGGGAAACTCGTAATAGGATAAGTTTCCTTAAAGGTGTGCCTTTCCTAAACGGGTTTTCCGAAGTTTGAGACAACCGAGGCTTTAACGATCGCCTGAATTTTCATCGAGCGGCGCGCGCGATGCGCCGCTGCGAGAACTTTCATCGTCGCCGCGTGCCCCAGATTGCAGACCTCGAGGACATATGAATTGCAGAAGGGGGATCAAACGGCTCGACCTTTCGCTGCTCTCCCGGGTCCGCGAGCGCCCCCCCCCTCCCCCGCATGACTCGGAAAAATTATAATTCAATAATTTCCCTCTCCCTCCCGCGCGCCCCCGAAGACGTCTTTTCTTCTTTTTTTCACACCCTCGTTTCTGCGTTCTTCCGCAGGAAAATCGCCTTGGTCATCATACTGACCAGAGCGGGTTTGGATCTCGATCCGAATGCCCTGAAGAGGCTAAAGGTCACCGTGCCGAAGCTCGGCCTGATACCGTGGGTGGTGGAAGCGACGGTGGTCGCCGCGTTGACGACGTATCTCCTGGGTTTGCCATGGATATGGGGTTTCCTGCTCGGCAGCATCATAGCAGCCGTCTCACCAGCCGTCGTCGTGCCTTGCCTCTTCAGGTTACGTGCCAAAGGTTACGGAGTCGCCAAGGTAAGACCGCCCTTTGTTTCCGGAATACCTGAATATTCACACACATCGCGCGCCTCCATCGTGCCCCCTCCCCCCCTCCCTCCCATTCGTCGGAGAACGGATCATAAGTCTCCCGGATCCAATTTCATCCGACTTCAAAGTGCGCGAACGTACAATGCGCGTCGGGCGAGCGAAATATGGGCGAAATAGATCTTAAGAAGGCTTACGCCGTGTCGAGAGTAGACCGACTATTGTTTCCCCTTTCGCGCGATTATTACTACGCTATTTGTTGCACGATTGGCAAGCCGGGGAAAAACGACATCGAGGAGAACGAGTCTTCGTCAACTCGCTCCCCCTTCCTTGTCTCCCTCTTTCTCACTCTCTCTGTCTCGCTTTCCGTCGGAGGAGCAAATATCACGGGGCATTACGCGGCACACGGCGGTTATATCGCGGCTGCCGTTAATGTTTAATCGTAATTGTGCGAATAATTGGATTACGTGGCGCGACTCGTGTTTTATATTAATCGAGTGCCGCGCGTGGCAAAGCGAATTTATTTAACGGTGCGGACGATGTACGACCGCTGTGTTTACGCCTCGCGATGCTTGACGCGCGGCATTAGAGCGCGTTAGAGGAGGTTTCCGTGTTAATGAACGCAACGCGATGATAATTAAATTTCTTTCGCCTTGCCTGTGTGCGGGCTCTCGGGGGCGCGATGGCCTTTGGAAACGGTTGTTCGGACTGCCGAACGAAATATCGCTCGGGCGCGATCCGATCGGATCCACGCGCGCGCGGCCGAACGATATCTCGCACGCGCGCGCCCTATCCGAATTCCTCGGCGCATTGAAATTTACACACCGTGCGCGCCGTTCCCGCCAATTTAATTGCAACGCCGCCTCGGCGTACTCGGATCGGAGAGAAAGAGGGATTTGCAGAAGTTCTCGCGATGCGGCGACGTAAAGCGAGCCGGCGATACCGCGGGAGGTCCGGCTGGGGATGGGAACAAAGACGAAACGAAGGAAACGTGCCGGACTTAAATAATTCAGTTTAGAAAATGGACCGGAAGTTGCTTGAAGAGTACAAAGGCCGTCGCGGCGGATGCGATATTCATGAGCCGAAAAGATCTGGACGATACTTCTTCATTTGGCGGAGTGTAACGCGACGCGAGCCGACGGCGACCGAGAGATCGCGACGTGATATTGTATATGCGGTGTTTCGGGGTACCGGGGGCAGGGAGGGGAAGGAGGGAACGAGAGAGCTGAGGCAGAGAGATCCGCGGGAATCCCCGATATTCGTCGGTTGCAAAATCGGAAATTCTTATCGCGCCGCCGGTGGAAAACTTTACGACGAGACGTTGACTGATCGTCGGTGCAAGCTCGAGCACCTCACGAGTGCCCGTAAGCACCCACGAGCACTCATGAGCGGAAGCTCGAACGCTGACCTCCCGCGATCCCTGTCACGATCGTGTGCCGCGATCTATTAGACGTCTTCCGCTTCTCTTTCTCTCTCTCTCTCTCTCTTTCTCTCCCCCCTCCCCCCCCCGCTCTCTTTTCTCTCTTTCTCTCTTTTCAACGTGTGTGTGTGTGTGTGTGTGGTAGTCCGACTTCGAGAATCACGATAGTCCGCGGGCTTAAATCCCGAACGAGCTATCGTGACACCGATAACGCGCTCCCGGACCCGCGAGAACCGTGCTCGAGTGTCGTCGACTACCCTCAATAGCGCCCTCGCCTCGCCTCGCTTTTTCTCCCCTTTCAACCCTTTCAGAGCGCCGAGGCTCCGCGCCTCTCTTAAGAGGAATATCTTGATTCTTCGCGGATTACTTCCGTATGACTAATGTTTAAGGCCCTTAGAGATCGTCGGACAGATCGTTTCTGAGATTTGCGAATTGCGCGACGTCGATTATTCATGAAACGGGAGATTCCCCCCCCCCCCCCCCCCGTGACAATCCTGCTCCGTTGCTTTTTCTCGTGTCTCAGATTATGCGATAGTGCGCGGAAAGAAATCTGGTTGCAAAAAAGGAACGACTAAATGCGTTCTCGTTGCAGGAAACAGAATTTCTGGTTGTAAGAAGAACCAGATTTGGATCATAAGAAAACAAATTCTGTTTCTTTCGGTCAAAACGCGTTTGGTTTGTTCACCGTCCGGTAAATTCGATCGAACTTTTTTCCGTGTAGACGAAGAACAGGAGAAGAATTTGTAAAAACTGATTCGCATGTTACGTACTGGAGAAGCACTGCACTCATTTTTCTTTAAATCGTGGATTGTACTCCGAATGATTTAAATCGTAGCACAGGACATGTTCGCGTGCTGGAACAGCGCGCCACTCGAATGTCCCCGAAACCGTGTCTTTGTACGTTGCAAATAAAAAGGAGCTATATCCGTTCTCTAATGGACACCAAGTTTGAAAAGGCTGATTTTTCTTTCCTCTTTGCAGTCCTCTTCTCTCGATAGCCTCCAGCATCGCTCTATCGCCCGTCTTACTTCCGGCGAGAGGATTCTTTTCGGTCTGTCCGTACATTGGAGCGAGCGTTTCTTAATCCCTTTGAAATCGCTCAGAATCCGTTCGTTTCGCGAATGCAACGATAAAGAAAAAGAAGAAAAAACATAGAGAAAGAGAGAGAGAGAGAGAGAGAGAGTTTGTGTGTTCTCATTAACGAGCAATAGCGCGCGTAAACCGAATTCCGCATCGGGGTGATTACAGTCGAGAAATCCTTTCGTATCTCGTCTGCTTACTTCATTTGTCTGTTTCCGGCCGACGTGTACCCGCGTGCAAAAGTGTGCACGAGCGCGTATGTGTGTGAGTGCACGTGATATTACATCTAAAAATGTGCAACGGGATAATGCAGTGCGATAAAGCCAGAGCATTAAACCTCAAATGCGTGTATGCATTATCAACAAGTCGATAAATAGTTGATGCGGTGTAATTAATTTGTAACTCGGTGCGCCGTCGCGCAACGTAATTCGTTATTAAATGATCAGAATATTGTGCCCGTTATTATCTCGCGACTATCTCGCGCGACCGCTCGTCGCAATCGATGTCGTCCTCTCTGCTTAGAGGCGACGCTGATTATTAGCTGTTCGACGTATTCGCGTCGCATTGTAAACGACATCCGACGGCGAAATTTTTGCGTCCGGCACGGCGGATCTGAAACTAACGAGTCCGCGATATATTTTCCAGGGCATTCCGACGCTGATTATCGCGGTGGCCGGGATCGACGACGCAGCGTCGGTGGCGGTACACGGCATCGTCAAGAGCGTCATGTTCTCCCACGACGCGCTCTGGTACCAAATTCTACAGGGGCCCATCGCCATCATCGGCGGCCTGGGATTCGGTATTATGTGGGGCTGGCTGGCTAAATACGTGCCGGAAAAGGGCGACGTAAGTAAAATCCTCCTCCCCCCTCGCGGATTAGGCCGCGCTCGAAAACACGAGAAGGGTGAATTGCGCCTTCGAGATCGACTGAACCCGAAGTGTCTGTAGAGAGCGTCTCGAAACTATCGCACTATTGTGTTCTACGATAGAGAGAAGGCGAATCCTGGAAGCTAAACGCATCGTCAATCGCGAGGATTCCACGTTGTTGAGCTCTGAATACCGTACCGTTTCTTGTGCGCACCATCTCGACTTAAACTTTCTTACAATTTTTAATGTGATTTTTGCATAATATAGAGGGTATCTCAGAATGACCGTACACGAAATACACCGGGAGGCTCTTGATACTATACGAAGCGACTTTTTTTGCTTATAAAAATTTCGTTCGAGTAGTGGTTTTTAATTGAGAGCTATTTAAAATTGTCGAATTAACGTGAGTGAAGAAATGTCATACGAATTATGTAAACTCGTTTTCTTCCATCTCACTAAACATTTTATCGAACATTATAATTCTTAATAAATATGTTTGGATTACCATTATTTTGAATACAACTCAACTTCGATATGAATGAATTTCTTATCGATACGGCACTGAAAGAATGACGAGAAATAAAATAATATGTTTGAATGACACATAAAAGATTTTTATATGATATCCTTTCAACGTCCAAAAAATATTTTCTGCGCAGAAAAATTTTATTCGCAGAATAAATGTTTGTACAGAAATGCAAAACATGTGTACATGTCGAACATTTGTTATAAATAATATTCCACTGGCTTTTTTTAAAAACCGCAAATATTTTTTTAAACGTTGAAACGATAAACTTTGTTAAAATTTGTTAAAAAATGTAAACTTTTGTAAATTTTTAATTAAAACTCTTACGACGTAAAATTTAAAAACTTTTTAAAAACTTTAAAAAATTGTTTATATGTCGTTTAAGCCTATTAGTACTTAATTTATTTTTTGTCTTTTCAGTGGTATTGGTAAGGAATTTTTTTGTGTCAAATAAGTTGTATTCAAAATAATGATAATTCGGATATTGCATTTACGATAAACGAAAAGTTGTTTTTTAGTACCGAAAATCTGGTGCGCTTCGTACGCGGTTATTCCGGAAACCTTGTATATAGAATCAATAAAACGAAGTCTAAAGATAAAACTCGTCATTTTGCCCTAGAAATATTGAAAATTCAGACTGATCGGTCGACCAACGATTCATAAGAGACAGGGACATTGCCTGGTCGGTAATGTTAATTAGTTATTAGTTAAACATTAATTAGAAACGAAAATCCTCGCGCGCGAGGAAATTTCGATATCGCAATAGTATTCGAAGTGTAAGCGACCGAAATTATATAACATAAATTTTTAAAAAACGTCCTAAAAATCTCCAGAGGACGTTTTATGCCTTAAGAATATTCCCAGAATATTCTTTGGATAAAAAGTGTTATATGGGTAGTCAGCGATACTACATGGACTTTTCGCCCTCATTGATTACACGAAACCTAAAGCTTAACCTTACTTTTCGCTGCAGATCAATACGATTTAAAGACCGTTTACAATAGTCATAAAGTATGCAGTAAGACGTAAGTAGTAAGTTAATTAACTAGCCAGTCTATTATTCTTGAATTGTAAGGGCGGTATTTATAGTCGAATCTTATATTTACGACCGTCTTAATACCAGAACCGCGGCTGGGTCATTTTTTATCCACTTTATATATTTTTCCCATTTCTTCGGATTTTCTTCACCATACGGCATCTAAAGATGAACCTAAGACGCTCTCATATATAAAATCCGATTATGAGCAGCGACTTAAGAATCCAGTTGATCAATTAGCTTACTGTTTACGTTTTATTGCATACTTTACGACTATTACAGACGGTTTACATCTACGCATGCACTAAGCAATGACGCTTTGTAAGCGTGGAATTTCTATATTTATTATTTACCGCTGAAATCCATCGTCGTCCAATGAAGTCCATCGATGTCCAGCCAGGTCGCGACCTGACGAGAGACCCATCTCTCCGCATCCCTTCGCGCATTTCAACTTCGCTGTCTCCGTTCTGCCGAGACCCGCGTTGATCGCACTTCACTTTATCACATTTCGCTGGACTCGCGTCGCGATTCATCTTCAAATTTTACCGACGTTTAACGGACTGACGTTGGCAACGATGGAAGGGATTCGATTTATCTCGAAACGGAATCTACGAGTTTGATCAATGGAAGACGAGTTCGTGCGCGAATTCGTTCGAATTTATTGTCATTTAACGATCATCTATCGCGACTCGATCGATCGCTCGGCGTTCTGGCGGCACGATAAATTTCGTCACTCCTGAAATATACTCGCGACTAGCGTGAATTGTGCGTAAAAAAAAAAATACCGCAGCTTGAAGATCGATTGCGTCGATCGCAAAATCGATCAATGCCACGCGCGATCGAGGTGATTGACAAGACGTGAGATTCTCACTCAACTTATCTCCGTCATATTGAATTTCATTTACCAGCGTTTATCTGCGTTTTCGAAACGCAGCTGCTGTGGTAATACGGCGTAATGCATATTAGAAATTTAAAAGTTAATGAATACACAGGACGACCGCAAATACTACTTGGGCGAATAAAGTAATCGTGAGATCTGCACATGATGGCGCAATTATAACGCGCATTATGTATTATGCAAAACGATTAGGGATTCGCATTAAATGGCTAGTTCTCTCGAATAATTCCATAATTTATGAGCTGTACGACCTGACCTGATATAAAAATTAATGATCAAGATATCGCGTTTGTGATAAATATGTTTATTGACCACTAAAAAAGATAGGACGTCTCGCTTGAATATTCAATGTTGAAATTAATTATATATTTGCTGCACTTGGAATAATATCGCATTTAAATCATTGATATCGTGGCATTAAAAAAAAAAAAGCGATCCCCTAATGATTTCGCACAGTGCATTTCATTCAATGGCGCGTATTCCTACACGCAAAATCACGTGCAATAATCTATTAAGTAATAATTTCCTAAATAAATCGTATTGATCGCAGCATAGTTTTATAAAGACTGGCTACCTTAAATATTCATAATATTCTTTCCTCTTTTCATTCACGACTTACTGAACTGCTTCGAAGTCAGGACCGGCATACCGAGAGATATCTGAAGTAGAAAGAAAAACAATTACGTTAGTTGGATTGAGGGATTCGGTTTGACGGACAATAGCAATTACGCATAGAGACGAGAGTGGATTAGCCCTCTGTGGTCGTAATTCGAGCCATACTGACGGCCGAGTCTCTGGCTTTTGACGGCAGAGGGTTAGCAAGCATATTGTTGACCAATCACGAGAAAATGCATGCCTTGTTGGCCAAACATTGTTGGTCGAACCGTGCGAGTTATCTCACGCTTTGACAGTTTTGGAAAAAGGTAACTGAGAACTCGGACAATGTTGACGGCCGGCCAACATTATGTTAAGAAGGAAAACAGCGAATTTGCGAGCCCACCTTCAAGCCGACCCTGCTCGGCCCGATCCTCCGGTGTTGCATCCGCACTCACTGGAACTGCGTTCTATCTTCACGGTATAGCGATGTAAACGTGTTGCCAGATCTGGAACAAAACACAATTTTCCTAATTAGTTACAATGACAGGGTGGTTATTCGTCTAGATGAAACGAGATGCAAAGGCCCCCCCCCCCCCAACTATTTAACTCTCTTTAACGCTCGGTATACCATCGTGGCGGTAATTAAATTAAAGGATTACTTCATTCTGTTGAGAAGATAAAAATAAACAACCTTTTTCTCTTTTTCTTTTTCTTCCTTGGAAAGATCTCTTCTCTGGAAGATCTCTAAGGAGGAAGAAGGATCATGAAATATCCATCTCTGTAAAACAGTTAGAATTGCTTGAAGAAGAAACTCAAAAACTAAAATTGAGTTCAATGAATCCTCAGCGTAATAATAGTAGCTTTAATATCTAGTAGCGCAATATTCCCTCTCTATACTCGAAATTATCGAAATCACTGTTGTCGCTTTTCCGCGATATTGATCGGCTGTAGCTTCACGCGTATCGTTCGTGGCTGTCAGATTATTACATGACAATTCTGACGGTTCGTTAATTTGTGTGTTAAAGAAAAAAAGAAATTAAAATACTTAAAAAACGATGAAAAGAAGAGAAAATATGTTTTTAGTCTGATAGAGAATTTTAGTCTATCTACTTTTCAATTACACGGACTGAGAAAGATTTTTCCGTGTAATAATAATTAGCTAAATATCGCGCATATATATTAACAATAACTATAAGTTTTTAATTATTCGCATTGTGCTGTATTCGTGAGTTATGATTGCTCATCAATAAAACGATTATGATTCTCAGCTATCATTAAAGAAATGTTATATTTGAAAACTTTCCCGTAATATATTAACTTTTTCCTGCAAAATTTATGTCTTATTGGGGGTTGCACGGAATTACAAATGCTACATAACGAAAATATATGAAAACAAACTGGAACATTGTCCAATATGTGACGAAAACGATTAAAACTTTCAAAACTGAAATTTCGATCTGTCAAATGGAATAAGCATTTACTTGCAACAAAAATTTCGCAACTTTTACATATCGAGTACGTTTGCTCCAATGAGGAAAATTTTGAAAAGCACTTTCGCACCTTTATAACGGTAAACAAAAGTCTAAAAAGATACGGGAAGTTCGCAGAAAACATTTTATATATCGTGGTTAGATACGGTAAAAACATATTAGCACACATTCGTCTTACTTATATCGCACCAACATTTATGTAAAACATATATATATATAAGAAATACAAACAGAACAGCGTGATTGCATAATTAATCAATATTTGCATAACGTAATATTTCGAGGACTGTCTCCACGTTATCGAGGCTTATCAAATTCAATATTAACGGGCTGAAACGTCCCCTTAATAAAACCAAAAAGACGAGTGATCGTCGTCTTACGTGCTTACTGCGTCGCGCCGTTGATGCCTGTAAGCGTTCAGCCGTGAATGTCGTTCAATGTCGCACGACCTTCTACGTACCAACGTAACAGCAACAACAACAACAACAGCAGATACGAATACTCGTTTGTTATATTTCCGTGCATAGAGCGTCTCAAAAACGTCGCACGATACTTCAGCAGCGCATTCTGCGCTATTTGGAGCGTAGCGGAATAACGAATGAATTTCCAAAGGGGAAAAATTATTGGACGCGTATCGTTGTCCGTAGCTCACATGCGACAGGCAGACGTGTTTCGAACGTTTTCGTCGAGTCGTTACCCCGGCAGTTTTCCTTCATAAGTTATGCCGCTCGGCAAAAACGTGCTTTCGAGAAAAAAAGCATTGAAAGTTCGGATTATACGTAACGCGTGTTTTTCCGCTATATTCGAAGTGTCCCCGGAAGTCGGGACGAATTTTCGAATGCGCGCGAAAGACGCGGAATATCGGCCAAGAGCCGATCCGGAGGTCTTTCCTCAAAATTGCAAGCGCACGGGCGCACCACCACCGCGTGTCACCGCCTGGACTCGTCGACTTCGGAGCCCCGTCGAGTAAATATTATATAAAATTAGCATTTTGCATTGTGTTCGCCACACGCCACGCGCGCGAAGTCGCAAGTCGACGGTATCATTCGGTCAGCAGCTCGAAATACCAGGAATAAAGGGTAACGGCGGAAACAGGGTCAGCCGACGGGAAGTCGTTCACCCCGTCGCGTCGTGTCGCATCTCCCTCGCACCCGCGGCGAATTCCGCCGCATATCGCGAGATAGATAGAGATAGAGAGAGAGAGAGAGAGAGTACTCGCGAGGATGGAGCACCGCGCAAATCTGAATAAATCTACTATTGCCAGATAAATCCACTTACGTGGCTATCGTTTGGCCGTGAAAATCTTGTAAACACTTTATGAATTGCACATAGCTGGATTGCATGAATCCATAAACTGTCGGCCATAATAGCGCGCGTTCTCGTATCGTCTCGGCGGCGGGGGAGTTCGCCGGGACTTGCGAGGATTTTCTCCAATGACGCGCGTTTTCACGTGCTCGTGCACGCCGTTGGAAATTATTAGTCACGTTTCCCGAGAAGAAAAGCAAAGGGGTACCGATATTCCCGAGGAGACGCGCGAACGATCGGAAAAGGAGAAAAAAAAACTGCGAGCCGGAGCAAGTAGGACGTTACTCGGACGTTCCACCTTGTCGCGCCTATTTTTCCCCGCGAGGCGTATGACATTGCTCCCGTCACGTATCGGGCTTATTCGAGGTCTTCGGGTATTGATGGACGCGCGTACGTTTGATATAAGAGTCGAGGAGAAAGAGAGAGAGAGAGAGAGAAAGAGAGAGAGAGAGTTTATAATTAGCGTGGGGCGTCGCGTATAAATAAATCGCGCCTCCGATTCAGTTGCAAACGGAGAGTACGCCTTAAAGTTCGCTTCGGTTCGTCGAATTTCTCACCTGGGGAGGTAGCACGATTGAAAAATCATCGGCAGGAATCCTCTCTCGAGCACGACGACGTGTTGTATTCTCGATAGAAATGGCGCTTTTACTCAATCGCGCGACACGAATCATCGCGTATCGAAGCGGCTTTCCGTAGCAACGGCGCCACCAGCGTTTCCCTGTTTATCGAGCGCGAAAGATCTGAAATTCAATTCAATTTTGCCACGGACTCCCTTTCTCTCACCATCACGGCAGCTCTCTACGGGAGCGTTGGTTCGGGCGAATTAAATGTTTACGCGTTGGCTTCGACGAAGTAGACGACGAGTACTTGGTTACCGCGCCCGTTGCGTCTGAAGTATCGTTCACGTAAGGATTAGGTGCCGTTGCGCTGCGGCGGTGTTGCAGTATCCTCCTTAGCCTGTCGTAACCTGATTTGACGGTCCGGATAAACTTAACTGTGTGGTGACGTTGTTGCATCAAGGCGTACACAGAGGGCGGGAGGGAGAGATACTGCCGCGTCGCACACCGGGTCAAGGAATGGTATTTTTCAAGGAACTTCTTTAAAAATGGCACTTTGCTGTTCGGAAGAGCCCTTTGTACTTTATCGTCGTTTTACCAAGTTTGGATTACTTCGGAGAGAGCGCGCATTTACTTTTTAATACTTAAAGCTCGGAATATACACATACACGCGTACACACGTATACATATATGTATAAACTCGACTTGTTTCTCTCGCTTACCAATTCTGACGAGAATTCTTTAAGGAAATTCTTCCGAAGATAATAATCGCTTCACGTATAGTGTAAAAACTGAAGAAAGGAATTGGACAAAAAAAGAAAAAGAATCGAGCCTCAAATTTGCGTGAATTTTGCTGCGCAAACTGCAATCGAGTCATATTAGATAACTCGAGTGGTATCAACAATCTGACGTAAAAGTGTCAACTACGAAATTCAGTCTCATCAGTAAGAAGTAATAGTGAGACCAAATTGAAACATAGCTGTTATACATGATATAACGGCTGTTCTTTCAATTAGCAAAAGATTTGTCTAACTGCATAATACGAGTAATTCTATTTCTGGGATATTAAGTAAACAATGATAGATACGATAATTTTAAGTACGGGATAGTGTCGAGTCAGCCGTATGGTTATTAAATTAAATTCCGAATTTGTTTTACACGAGAACAAGAAATCAAGACAACACCAAATTTTGCCAAAAGAATCGAGGCAGTTGTATAACCTGCCTACAACGCTGAATTTGAGTTCGTTTAACTCGATTCGAGTTAATCTCGACTGATCTCTTTTTTTTTTGTAGTGCACTATCACAGAGCCGGGATGAAGTTCTCCCTGTTTTTGCGCAAGTTTACCATGTATACATGTATATATCAACGAAGCCTTCTATTAGGAAACTTAATAATGAGACCGATAAATCACTTTGTAATCATGACACGACGCTTTCCGTTGTAGCCTAACGCTTCGTTTACGTGCTAATGTTGCAGCCCTTCATGGTGCCACTGAGAGTGCTGATGTTACTCGGGGGTGGGTTGTTGGCGGTCTTCGGCAGCGAGGCAATCGAGCTCGGTGGTGCTGGGCCGCTCGCGGTCGTAGCCGCAGCTTTCGTCAGCTGCTACTTTTGGCAGCAGGAAGGCTGGGAAGTGGACGATGTGAGTATAGTGGTATTACAATTCTGTCTAACCCTGCGGGGGAGTAAATCACCGACCGAAAATTCGCACACCAATCCCGCAACGTGTGAATAAAACTATAACATATCGGGTGACACTCGGGTACTGTGTGCAAATTTAAGGGGCATGTCTCGGGTATAAATTGAGATAGAAAATGTATAAACGTCGGTTCATTTTAAAACGTTTGCACATTTACAATATTTTTGTCTAATGTTTTAAATGATAATAACTTCTTGCGATAATTTTGAATGAAAAACATAAAGAAAACACGAAGATTGGAAATTTAGTACACGAAAGGGAAGTTAATACTCGAGCTAAATTAGTATAACGAATTAGTATAAATAATGTCGAAGAAAAGGAAGTCGGTTTGAACAGTTTTTATAATCTCTATGTTTTCTTTGTTTATTTTTCATTTCGAATAGAAAAATGTTTCAAGATATTGTATTGTTATTTATAAACTTTAAACACTCGCAGATGGTAACTTTTTCGAATTGGACCCATGTTTATATGACATTTTCTACATCAATTTACATTCGAAACGTGCTTCTTAAATTTGTACAGTACATCATCCAACATCCTCTATAAGACGATATAGGGATGAGATAAAAATACAGTTGAGTTAACTCGAGTCAAATAATTCCCCGAAGTACACGCGTAATGCACTGTCGAATTACCGATCTCGAGTTAGCGTATCGTTTTCGTAAACCTCGATGGGCTCGGTAAACCAGGGAGGGATGAGAATGACGGACTGGAGTGTGAGATGCCGCAATTTAGGATAACAGACGCGGCGCTATCGAAACCCCTTAATTATCCATGTCCTAATTTTGATCTAAATGCAAGTTATTAAATATTTCATCTCTATCGGAGGGGGAGAGAGAGAAAGAAATCGGCGACGGTGAAGGTGTCGCTTCGCTCTCCTGCCCCAATAACTTGAATCTCGTGAAATATTCAGGCCGACGTATCGCTGCCATCCGGGGTGTGGATTGGGAGTCAACTGGCTCGTTCTTATTTCCGTGTCGCCTCTCGCATACCTGCGCCGCCGGTGGTGACACGTTCTTTCGCACGTTTCGTGACGTGACTGTGGCCTGGCATCTGTCAGTATTATCGCCGTATGACGTCGGGGTGTCGTACTTCCCGTTCTCTTTTTACCCTCGGCATAATTTATCTCGGCTTAATTATTACGGGACAACTGCACGACGCGTTGACGGCGATGTTCTTTTTCATATGTTCAAATAATCAGTCACTTAATTTCCGTTGAAAACATTTTACAATGTTACCTACGCAAGCCGAGGTTTCTCAATTTCCATCGTATATTAATTTCCGCTTCAAGACAATCGATACCTTCTATCGCGATACTATAACGTTGCTAATTATAAACCTCATTATTGCGAGAAGCTGGCGTACTCCCGTCGGAAACGCGTGAGCTCTCAGCTTTCTGGCGGATTTAATTTTATCTCGCTGCAGGCCCTAAAAGCGGAGATATCGACGATTGAGCCGCGACATTCTCGGCTTGGACGCTATTTAAACGGCCTCGATAATGCCCCTTAAATTACGCTTAAATTACGCTGCTCGCTAGGTGGGAGCAAGGCGGCGTCACGACACGCGTTACGTCACGCATGTCGAAACGGGTCCCACCATTGAACTATAAACATATTGAAACGCGCACGGCCATACCTCCACTACAGTGACAGCCGATCAGAGATAGTTGAATTGGTGCCATATTGTCTCTTTTCAGTGTCAAACTATCACGGCTGAAAACATTCGTCCCGACGTGGACATGTTTGTCTGCGACGTTGCGTAAGAGTTGGTATAGGTTAAGTTCGTTTTGGACGCTCTCGCTTTCGTGCTGAAAACATACCAAAAACTTGATCGCTACACGTAGACGAAGATAGCACGCTACTTAACTGTCTCTCTCTCTCTCTCATACAGCTCTGATCGCTCGAAAAGTGTATTTGTTCGGTAAGTTATATACTTGAACAATGGGTCCCATTTTGCCATGTCAGCTAGTCACCGGACCGCGCGCGGGCCGCACTCGACCGACGACGACGGTCACTCACCCCGTTCGTTTGCGTGCCGCTCACCACGCGGCAGCACCGTGCAGCGCTTTCATCGATATCGAGCGCGCCTGGAACTTGAAAGAGCCCGGAACTTTAAAGAACTCGCGCGGGCCGACGCAGAGGCGCGAAACAAAAAGCAATCTTCTTGATGCGCGCGCGCCCGTCTATGCCGTTCCTTTTATTGCCGATCCAGAGGACGACGCAGCCAAACGGCGTGATAGATTTAACTCGGGAAAACTCCTCGCACCGTGCACCTTCTCTCACTTGGAACCGCCTGGATTCTTTCCTTTGCCCGTTCCGTTGTGACAATAACGAGATCGATGTTGGATCGAAGCGAAGGAATAATTGGAGCGTAGCTTGCGAGATGAAAAGATGATCGCCTCGAAAACGATTAATTGGCGGAGCGGTGTTATAACCCATTAAACCATTAAATCGCGAACTTTTCTGATCGAAGGACCTGACTGTTTATTTCCGAAAAGTTGCAAATTGTTATTAAAACTATTTTTAGATATAACTTGAACATTCTGTGAAAAGATAACAATGAAATCATATGTTATTTAAATGATTTTATTCAATAAAAGATAAGCCGTCATACACACACATATATAAGTATGTGTGGATACTGGTTGTTAATGAGTTAAGATCTTTTTGTGTGTTTGTTTCTGCAAATTCCACTCTAGCCGGTTGAGGCTTTACTCGTAATTCTGAAACACCCCGTATGCAATTGACGCAAACTTTGGAGTATTAAAAATGAAAGGAAGGAAAAGCCGTGCGTATGGAAGAACGTGTATTACCATGTATATCGTGGTTTTCTTGCACTAGACCGCTGTTTCCCGCGTCAGCATTATCCGGAAATATATTGCACGGAATTAAATTAAATGAATCAATACCGACGGAGATATTTCCTACGCACCGCGAGCGCGCGTGTAAACAATGGCGATAAATACGAGCTTGCACAGCGTGAACTCTGGATGTTCCGCATTTCCATGCAACGTTGGAAGATTTCCATATACCGATATCGAGCGCATGGACAATGCGGCACGATATCATCGCCGAATTCCGCCGAATCGATTCTCCTTTAGAGGAAAATTTTACAGGCCGTCATTACACCGGCCCCGGCAAGCTTTTTAATATTCTCAGCGCGTTACACGTCGAATTAAATTCTCGCGAAATTAACGCCCGCGCGGGCGCGATATCTCGACGGGGAGAGAGAAAGAAAAAACACCGGAAGTAAGGAGTGAAAGAGATAACGAGTTTCAAAAAAAGAAAAACACAGAAAAGAAAAAAATATAACCGGGAAAAGCAGGATTTCGTTATCCCGGCACGGGATTCGCGAAACTTCCCGGCTTCGAAATTTCGCTTCAGCATCAATCCTCGAAATTCCATCGAAATTAAAGGACGGCCGGAGAATCTCGAGAATTTGCAACACTATATAGGCCATTATCCCACTCTGATTCTATAAATGTTTATTTATCGCACGCTGAGGCTTAAAGTAGAACCAGCTAAGAGCCTTTAGAATGATTTCATAGAGTGATTTCGTTTTTGTGCTACACGTGTTTTTAGAAAATGTATGTATGCGCAGAATTATTTAATATTTGATATTACCTCAATATTCTATCTGCGTTCGATATTTTTTTCTTAATTTTTCAATAAGCAACGGATTAATCATGTAACTTGGTTAATTGCAGATAGAGTATGTACGATAAGCAAATATTAAATAATCAATACGGGTGTGACTAATTAATGAGATTAATGGAATTAACGGGTAATTAGGAGCACAAACTTCCTGTATATTTTTTTAAGGCAAGACACAGATTCAACAAATGCGAAGAAAGAAGGAGAAGTTGCACGGGCAAAGATAACAACAATTGTTTTACACAGTAATGTGTCTCATGATTCTGTGCACCAATATGCAAATAATTTAAATTCAATTCAGCCATAAATAGAAATGAGCAGAATGCGTTGCAGATTCAGGACGGAATTTACGACCCAGAAAGTATTATCGGAGACGCAAATTGGCATTCACGCGACTTAGATTCCAAATTCCAACTGAGACGCCCGTTCTTTTATTCTCAGGAAGTTCATCAAGAACGTTCGTTAAAATCGGAAACATTTTTTAATAAATAATTTGACGTACCTGGAAATATGTGTGTACGCGTGCAGATACGTGACGTATCGTTGCCTGGCGTCTCGGCGTCTCACATCCTCCGTCCTGATTTCCCGATCCAGCATCTCGGCTCTTGGCTGCTCCGTTGTTCCGGACGTTCACGAGCACTGACACTCGCGCAAAATACCAATCGATCGGAGAAACACGTGTTAACTAACGCGATGCCGGCGAGAGTCCGATTACATATTTCGAAAGCGACGAGATATTTTAATCATCCAACGAGAATGATGAACAATCCGCCAATACACGTAGTCTGTATCGCGGTATGTGCTTCGCTCGCCGGCTCGAAACGTGATAACTCGGCGACGGACGAATACGTGATGCGTGAGAAAATCAAAACAATCGGCGAAAAGGGCAGACTCATCTTCTTTCAATCAATCGTCAACCGCAGGGATGCCATAAACCGGCCTCGGGTACGTAAGGGGAAGGCGCACACAAAGCCGCGTGTACGTGCGCGTTTCGAATTTCGGACGCTTTCGACGCTCTCCCGAGGCCGTTTTATGGCATTCCTAGTCAATCGTCGTCCGCGAACAATCGCGAGGTGACAACAATCAACGATTCCAAATCACCCCGGAGCTTCAAGACGATCTAAATTATCAGGGCAGTTACGTATACGACACTTGTTAGAAGTGCCCCGAATCAAAATTTAAAATCTGCCGTAAGCCTCGCAATGTCCACTTGCGTCTTTGCTTTTCTCCTTACGGCTCTTTCTTTTTCGCCACTCTCGAAACCCAAATACTACATAAAATTCTCAATGTCAATAAAAAAAAAAAAAATAACGAATAGATTATGAAAAAAGAAAATTTGTCATGCTACTTACCTATTTAATTCTATTGTTTATCCATATTAATTATTTAATATTTGAAAAATAAAATTATTATCCAGAAATCTAGAATAACGATTCAATGCTAAAATATTAAATGTGGATATGAATATTGATTGAATATAGATAGAATATTGAAATAATCGAATGTTGAATAATTCCGAGATATTCCCTTCTTCATTCCGTCTTCTTTGCGCCTCAATGTGAAGGAAATAGCAGTAAATAACCGTTCGTAGCATCGAGATAAGACAACGGTGTTACACCTCGAGATTCTCCGTTCAGGATCTCGACGAGATTCGCAGCGGGGATCAAAATTTCAAACGACGCTGACTAATTCACGATAACTCCCGAATCGACTGACAAAATGTTCCCTCCCGTTGCAGAATCCGGTTGCCACGTCCTTCGAGATCTTTTGGATGATATTCGAGCCGATCCTGTTCGGCATCACCGGCGCGCAGATCACGATCGCCGAGCTCGAGGGTAAGACCGTCTATCTCGGGCTGAGCTGTCTGATCGCCGGCATCGTCATCCGGATCGCCGTCACCGTGCTGGTCGGGATCGGCTCGAACCTCAATCTCAAGGAGAAGGTGTTCATCGCGCTGTCGTGGATGGCCAAGGCGACCGTGCAGGCGGCATTGGGGCCCAGCACCCTCGACGTGGTCGACCAGAACGATGAACAGCAGAAGGAGTACGCCGACACGGTGTTGACGTTGTGCGTGCTCTCGATACTTCTCACCGCGCCGGCCGGCGCCATCGTCATCTCGCTTTCGGGGCCGAAGCTCTTGACGAAGACTACCGCGCCGGTGGTGCCGCCGGAGGCCTGGAAGACGCGCAGACCGTCGATCCGCGACATCTCGATCATCAACGAGGACCCGGACCTCGAGGAGACGGCGAACGAGAGGAAACCTTGACAATCGCATTTGATCCGCGTGCAATCTCGAACTGAGCAGTCCCCTTAGTAGGATAGGACCCTTCGTTCGCGCGACCTCGGAAAGCGGCCTCGAGAAAACGGCCGGAAGTGCCCTTCGTTCGTCGGCGACTCGCAGTCGTGACGGACATTCATGAGCCGTACGTCTGCGTACGGTGTGCGCCGAAGTGTTTTGAATGACTAACGCAGCAACTATTGACAGTCCCTATGTATTATCAATGGTGGTAGAAACCAATGTTTGCAATTATTGACAGCTGCTCGATCGATATCCAGAGGTGTCCATGGTCGAAAATGGAATACGCACGACGATGTTTCCGTATGGGAGAATCCGTACCGGGGAAAAGCCGGCAGCGGATAGTGGAGACTTTCTTGGTTATTTCTGATTACGATACTTTCTCAATAGTTTCATTTGCGGTTTACATACCTCTCTGCTTCTGACCACTTTACGCACGAGATTTATTAGCGGGATTTACGAGCGTCCTTAATCACACATATGTACGTTGTTTTTAATTTTCCTTTCATTAGCGATAATACTAATTTTGTCGCGTGTCTCTGGAGGAGAACGAAGAGAGGCAACCAGAAGTCCGTTGTAGGGGAGATATTCAAATATAAACTCGTAACATCAGCAGTCCTTTGCTACGGTGAAACTTCGCGTTAAATTTTCGTCGAGATGACGTTATTGTTTATCCCGGCGGAAGGGAAGCGCATTGGACGAAGGTTCGTCAACCGGACGAGTAAATGACACTTCCGTGACGAGCGTGTAAACGCGGTCGACCGCGTGGCGGCTCGTCGTTAATGTTATTATTGATTAGGCGCTCCGCTTTTGGAAACCGGTCGATTAACGATCGTCTGTGCCGCACGGTGGTCGTTTTAAAACAGACTTTACGGCTTTAAACGAGACGTTTGTATGGGCGATGAATAAGTGATGCGCGCGAGGCGAAACGTCTAAACGCCGGAATCGCCGGCCACGGAATTATGCCGAGCGTGATATTTCAGTGTTCTCTTCCGCGAAGACGAGCCTTTCGAGGGAGATAAGCCAGGCGAGTTTAAATTTTGACGTGCGGCATAAAAATTTTACTATCGACGGTTCCGGCGCGAGCCGCGATCGGCCTTCGCACCGTGAACAAATGTATTGTTGCGAGAAGCCAGAATTTTACTATTAGGCTCCGTTTGAATAAATGCTGAAAATAAAGGCAATATTTTGCTATTCCTGTCGAGTCTCCAGCGTTCATTTCATTCCTGTTGATTTTAATCGAGGGGAATAGCGTTGGCCACCATTATAGGAAGCGAGCGAAGAGAGCGAAAAGCGTTCGAGAATATTACACTTGCAGATGGATCAACTGCAATTATCCATTTACTCTGCGTATTTCCCCGTTTCGATTACATTTTTACTTGCATACGGATGTGCGAGGAAAGTTGGAAAATAGTTTATTCTGAAAATAATCCGTTAAAAAAAAAGCGCATCATATAAAAATACATTCCGATGCAAAACTGTCGAGTCGCGTGTCTCCTTTGACATTAATCGTATCAAAGTGCTTTTTTCTTTTTTCTAACACACAGAAGCTCAAAGATTCATTAGGAATCATTCGACAACAAGATTTTTTACACACACACACACATACACACATGTCTTTATACTCGATTTACATCGACGTCATACCTATTAAATATGTCACGCGGTGCGTGTAAAAATATCGCTTGCAAGTTTCGTCAACGAGGTGTCCCTCGCGACACACGCAGTACAATGACGCAACACACACACACATACACAGAGAGAGAGAGAGAGAGAGAGTCACGGGGAGGATCGAAAGGTTACGAGCCTTCTTTGGTATTCTTGGCGACGTCGTTACGATGGACACATTGTCGCAGGTAAAATTAACTTTCGCGGGCGAAAAAGAAGATCAGCAGATCTTGATACTTTTTAACAGAATCGTCATGCTGCCTCTCTCTCTCTCTCCTCCAACAGACGCTTCGTCGACGTTTCGGTCGTCAAGATAGCGATTCCCTCGTGAGTCGAAGCACATCGTCAACAATATGCGCTAATACAAAAGGGAACTTTATACAATGACGTCTCAGCGCGGTATCCCTCGCCGAGCTCTATTTATACCGCTATTCACACGGCGCCAGAGGCCGTCGAATCGAATGCAATTACTCTCACGATGAGAGTCAGTTATTAACACTTGCACCAGCGAGAAGGAAGATAATAAAATCGCCTCGCTACGGTGCGAGAAAGGTAGAAAAGCGACCGGTTTTGTTCGCAACGTGTCTGTCGCGCGTGCCGATCGCGGAGGATGCGTTCTATCCTCGTTATTAACAACAAATCGCAAAAATGTCAACGACGGTGCAAGAGTCAATCGTTCCGGCCAGCGGAGGAAGAGACACGGTCGACGAGTAAGCGCATCGGCCGCAAGTCGAGCGGCGAGTATGGAGTGTACGGGGAAAAGATACACGGCGAGGTAGTCGCGGGATGTGGAATTATTTATACTAAACGGTGACTCTCTCTGCGATGACGCTTCATGGCGCCGTGCTCACCACGAACGTGGACATTAAAGTGCTGTTGCTGACGCTCTTTCTCACGCGGTAAGGATCCTGCATGATGGTCGTGTCGCAGTTCCGTTTCTTCCGCACGTCCAGGCCCAGCCGTCTGCGCAGCGCCAGGTAGACCCGGCTCTTCAGGACGAAGAGAATGAAGATCAGCAAGCCTTGCAGGCAGTTGAGGACGTCGGTGAAGTAGAAGATCGTGTCTTGCCATTCGACGTGGTATCTCTTCAGGAAGAACGACACCACCTCGCACACCCATGTTATCCCCATGACGACGAACAGCTTAATATTCATGACGAATCTGCGGGAGTAAAGACACGCGATAGATAAGGGGGAGAAACTTTCTGTGAGCTGAAAGCTCGACGATGAAGTCACAATGAGCGTGCGAGGGTGACATTTTTGTGTTGAATTCGACATATTTCGAACGGTCCGCACAAATTTTCGTGCTAATTTAACACAAAGTATGTTGAAAAGTGGCATATATACTATATCAAAAGTTAACGCAAAATCAGTATCCATGATGTATTAATCAACACTGAAGTATAAGATATATTATTTTAACACTTACAAGTATTAATTTAACATTTACACACCGTTGAACACCGACTCAAAACGAAATTTATTGAGATAACATAAATACGATATACTGTAAATTAACACACGGATACGTAAAAAATTTAACATAAAACATATAAAAATTTTAACAAGGACCGATTTTTATCGGAAGAGCAAAGTGTTTTTTTTTACTATGCGGTGCGTTTTGCGTTCGAGAACGCGGTATATTGAATAAAAACGTGATAGAATGAATGAAATTTGCTTAAACGAATTAAGTTTTTTCAAGCACATGCGTTTAATCCATTGAACAAATTGTACAGTTTCTGTAATAAGTTATCAATTGATTCAACGATTGCGATTCGGTCAGCAACAACTGTATCAATGCAACGTACTGTTGCACCAACGCGTAATTTGCTCGTAATAGTGGACGTAATATTTGTTTTCGATGAGGTTGATCGCACCGATTTTATCAATTCACAACTGCTTTTTTCTCTCAGCATAAAAAAACACTACAAACGGCTAACTGATCGTCGTTAAATTCCACGATCGTGTAAACGGTTCGCATCAACGAGCGCGCGCAAGGCAACTTTCGTACTTCGTAATCGACGCAACTCTCGTACATTTTCAACGTCGCTCGTGAATAGCAAGTGAGTTTTTCTGCGCTCGCGTGTAAATTGCGTAAGCAATTTCGAGAAAGCGAGGAACTTCCTCGTGTCATTGATAAAAGATATTTATCGAGATTGCAGATGCAGTCACTAATTGGCGGTTTTCTCCGTGAAGTATCCCATTTTGTTCATAATCGCTTCGCTTGAAAGACGGGTCGTTGGGTTTTTGTCGGCTTGACGAAAATAACTAATGAAACGGGGTGACATACCTGTTGCGGTCTGAATGGAAGCGCTTGTTCCTGGGATCCGCGGGGTCCGAGGTGAGTCTCTTGATTTCAGCTTTCACCTGGTTGCAGTGCATTGACGTGAGAACGAAGAACACCATATTGGATATCAACTGGATCGTCACCGGGCCGGTGAAGAAAGTCACCTCGCTGTATGACCCCTGCTTTTCTGCGGGCGGTTGCAATTTAACACAACATAAGAAGCGCATCGACGCGGGGAGATCTCGTTTGTCATCGAGATCGTGTCGTTTAGTTGTCTCATCGCGCCGGCAAATTTCCCCCGATAAAAAGCGATTATTTACTCTTCCTCCGTGGTCATCGTTCATCGTCGGGATGAAAGGAAGGGAAGAAAAATGTGGCTGCACCGAGCTATACAACGGTCGGATAATTATTGTAATGTCATTATTGACATAAGCGATGTAATCCCGATAACTCTTAGCTTCCTTCGAGCTTCTTCTCGAGCCGCGAGAAAAGTTTCTCGCGAATTTCTTCCACTCGACCATTATCGAGCGCATTACCTCGGCGATATTAATGATACTTATTACGCGAGCAGTTAATCCCACCGTGAACTTTATTTACCTATCTATCTACCTATATATTGAGGCGTAATGATGCTTGAATTCGATCTCCGAGCTCGATCAATGTGGCTACTTGAGGAACTTTTTAATTATCGGATAATTGCGACACAACGCGACGGGCACGATCAAAGGAGGCCTTACGTTTACGCTTCAACCGATGCCTCGATGCGACAAACTTCGGCGACGCCGAACGAAAATTTTCCGGCTGCAACTCGTCCTCGATGTCGGAGTCCGCGCGGAAAAACGAATATTATGCTTCGATTACGGCGCGCAAGGAAACGAAATATTCAACGTCGCCGAGGATATCTCGTCTCAAGATTCGCAAACTCGCGGCTCCGCAAAGACGCTTTAGACGAATTTACGCGTTACTTCATTTATCAAATAGCGATTATCGAGCGGGGGGGGGGGAAGGAGGGGGTGACTTACGTGTGAACCAACATCCCATATAGCCGATCTTGGGTCGCATGTAAACTGGCAGGATGTCCGTGCAGTCGGAGACGATGACGAAGATCGACACCAGAAAGGAGAAGCCCCACGCGTACAAACAGTAAAACAGGAACCTCCGTCTGTGTTTGCGTCCCTTCGTGACCGTGTCCCCGCGTAAGCCTCTGCGAGGGAGAAACAGGACTCCATTATCGTTTATCTTATTCATTAAGATGAAAAATACACAGGGAGACACGTGTAGGAAGGGTCGATAAACATGTAACCCTGTGTGACCACTTTTCGAGAAGAGACGAGACATAATGTAGGATAGGATGATATATGCGTCTTCCTTAAATTGACGCCCTCGGACGATCGTCGGCACTCAGACGATGGCCGAGAAAAATTAACTAATGACTCGCGATACGCGAGACGACGTTTGTATGTCGCGTTACGAGGGTTAAATCGCCGGATACTGTTCCAATAGGTTCGTCCTTAATTCAGGGAAGCCATCAATTAGGGAAGCAAACGGGGCAGGGTTCTGCAAATGACGCATGAGTACCGCGTAATTCCTCTTTCGATGGCGACGGTGACGACGAGGTGGACGATGGGGCGACGCGAAGGCGTAGGAAGAAGCGACTCGCGGAATTCCCGATTGAGAGATCGCGCGGCGAGGCTATTGAGATACATAGCCATCGTCGCTGACATAGATCTATTTTCTGCGTGTATTTGCGGAGCCCCCCCAGCTAGAATAGCATCTTGAATATACAAACCGTCCGTAACCGGCGAGGAACGCGGGACAAGGCGCGTAAGATGCGTAACCATTTGATCGTGCATCTCGCGCGACGCGCATCCGCGCGAGAAGTGATTCCTACGCGCGAAGTACGCGAATAATCCTCCATATCCGGCGGTATTATTATCAGCCGCCTGTCGCGAGTTCTTCGGTCATTACGCGTGGAAGGTAGAAAAGAGAAAGAGAGAGAGAGAGAGAGTTCATCGGGCGGGAAATTAATTAAAGAAGTAATTGACCGGGAGAGAAAAGGGAGAATATTCATTCTCCTCGCGCGGTTAAAAATTTCCTCTCTTCCATTCGCTCTTCTTCCGCGCTCACGTCGTGCACGCTGCGCGCTTCAGTGCTATATAAAACGCGTTGAGTCATTTCGGTGTTTAATGTTTGCCGTTGTATATTTCTTTTTACTGCCGCAGCACGTGAAGAGCGAGTACAATAAATTCGCGGAGCGCCTATGAGCCGCCGAAGCAATAGGAGGGTTAATGGGACGGACAATAACAGCGAGACATCCTATAGAAGGTCAAGTGAGGTAATCGAGACTCCCTCTGTCTCTCCCTCTCTCTCTCTTTCTCTTTCCCGTCCTCCCCCGTTAGGTAAACGAGGCGACGATAGCGTTGCAATCATACGACGTTATTACGAAGTAATTAGAGAAATACTGACTATAATAGTTTTGAAGATAGAATTCCGAATTTCGGTTTCTTATCTTTTTCACGGGAAAAGTAAACGTGACGGGTTTTGAACGAACACGCGTGAATTTTTCTAAACGAATTTTTGCATCTCTGGGATAGAAATGGAAAAAAATCCGCGGAAAAATAAGGAACCCAGATTTTTTACAGAAACTTTTAAAACTACAACTGATTATTCATTGGGTTTGCTGTCGGAATTAATCGGAATGGAATCCTCGAGCGATTTACTGTTGACTTTATCATCATCGGCGTATGATTGCACACTGCTTCGCATTCAATTAATTTCGTCAATTACATCGGACGTCTTCCGTCCACACAGTCTCGTCGATTACCTCATTCACTTCGATCGTGTTATCGGGACTTACTTACTTACTTACCCGAAGGTCCACCATATGTCGAAGCACATGACGTTGAGCCAAGAGAACGCCGACAAAAAGGAGAAAAGCATGATGTAAGCTGGAAATACAGTTCTCGTTTTCCCAAGGTGCACATATGTGTACACATGTGTTGTTTACTAGAGTCGCGTGTCGCTCACCCACCTAATAACCTGCATGGCGTTGTGACATTTATCTCCTTGACGTTGGGCGCTTTCGGGGGTGTGATCCACGGTATGATGGCCAAACAGGTGTACGCCAAGAGGAGACTGCTTACGTGGCACATGAGGGTTTTTCCGTGGAGGTTCTGGAGGCCCGGAAGGCACACGTATACCAAAAGCGTCATCAGCAGGAAAACGCAGCTGGTGACTTCCAGGACGGTGGTCACTTTGTATCTGCACAAAACGAAAATCGACCCCCGTGTCTCCAGTGGCAGATGGTTAAATTTCCGAGGCTCTTTTTGTTGATATTATTTCAGGTGCCCCTTAACTGTTTGTAAGTATTAGGTGTGCAAACTAATTCGGTGCTTTCATTACCAAACGTCGAGATTTGTTTGCCAATGGAAAGTGTGCAGTTCTGATTATCGAAATAATCCATTATATTTGAATGTAGATACATGTTATTAAGCGCGTATTTTTTAATCTTAGCGAGAGGATAAAATTGTAACGCATCCGACGGTGTAACGCACAACGTCACAACTCTGTTTCAAACTTACAAATTATGAGTGGTATTATTTCAGTAACATACTTTCCACGCTGAACCGACCTTTTTAATCCACAACTAATATTCGTACTAATTAATACGCCCGACCTCTCCTCCCTTATTTAAAACATACCCCCGGATTTTACAGAAATTTTAATTTAAGGATTTAATTATCGAAATAATCTCCATTATTTTAAAATGTAATGGAGTAATGTAAGAGTTTAATTATTGAAAATCTCCATTACTTTAAAATATAAAATTAAAATTTCTAAATGGTCCGGAGGTATGTTTTAAATAAGAGAAGTCGGGGGGGAATTAATTAATAGCTTCATCGCAATAAAAGAGAATAAAAACTCAGTGGTTTTGAATCAATAAAGTCATCGACGGGGATTTTCGGGTATCCTCTATTGTCTTAAAATGTGTGCCAGTTAAATGATGTTGTATCGAGCGAAACAGATGAAAATCTGAAGGAGCAAGTTCTGAAGAATAGCCGGGAGCGGTACAACTTCCCAGTCAATATTAAAAATGACGCTTTTTGTCCTTTTTGCCACGTGAGGTTGAGCGTTTTTGTGGAGCGGGTTTCCTTGAAATCTCAAAACAAGCGATATTATTTTTCACAAATTGTATGACTCACCGCGCCTTCCCCGAGAACCAAACAAATCATTAACGCGCACATTCGGCACTGCATTTTTTTGCACTTCGAATGCAAAAAAATGCACTGTCGAATATATTGCATTATTGATAATAGCACTGTTCACTACTGTTTTCTCAGGTTACACCGACTACTCTGTTATGTTACGTGGTTTTTTGTAAACATAGATTAGCGGCTTTTGAAATCATAATTGAGCGAAAAAAATCTAGATTTAAAAATGGATAAAACTAAAAGCACCTAATTAATTTACATATCTAACAAATGAAAACTGGGTTACTGAAACGCACCTCCTCTCCATTTCCCCCTTTCGATGGGAACCCTAATGCTGCAGCATCAATAGTTGCAGCATCAATAATTTCTCTCTAAATATAAACCCGCGTGCGTTTCGCATCTCGCCACATGGCGATATGTAATATGTAATAGCCGGCATGCGTCCCCTAGCATTCTTTGGATATCGCACGTTTCTTCCTTTCATTGACAGACGATGATATAAACGCTTCTCTTGATTCGCGTGTACGTGAAATTCAGACGTTTACGGCTGTTGAATTCTGAGCATTGTCTATCTATCTATCTATCTATCGCGCGATGCTCGGCTGCGCCGGAGCTGTTTGTTTGACTTGCCAAGTTTAGACACTATATAGCCACAAATAAAGCCAGTCATGTTTCACTAAATTTGATAGAATTTGTGGCGGACCGGGGAACCGAGATGTTGTCCGCATAGTTACGCAATGTTCCGGCGTTCTACACGCCTTGAGTCTCGATAATATGCACCGCTTGAATTTTAGAATATTTATGTCGATTAAGTCTGTTAGAATTTAATCGAATATTTTCTCGAAATTTTATTGAATAAATTTGACTGATACGAGAGATGAATAAATTTATCGGATGAATTGATAAATTTCTTAATTGAAAGCACATCTGGCTTTGAGCAAGATATAAGACAGTTATAAAATGGTTGTTGAACTTCGTGCATGCTGAAAATAGCATAACAGATATCGTTAAAATACCTTGTCGGAACGTTTTGTTGTTGTGTCCTTGGTTTGTTGAAACATATAAACAGAGAGAAGCCTCTATTGTAGTGCGATTTGTTATAAAGGACATCCATGCAACATTCGTCCAGGTTGTAGACCCGATAATCTTCGACTTGAACGTGCCCTTGTGAGGTCATCGACCATTTCTCTTTCATCGGATTCACCGGATACATGCCGTATCGACACGGCTTCCCAATCAAGAGCCCGTAGTCTGAACAACCAAAATGAAACGTGCGTCAGTGAGTTTCTCGGAACTTTGGACGATAACATTGTCGTAATTGTTGTTCGTTATCGTCGTTATTAATGTACGATTAACCCTTTGCACTCGAGGGCTCCGGAGCGGAGCCATTTAAAATTGGTCTTCAAACTCGAGGGCTCTGCTATGGAGACAATGCAAATAACTTTCAGTTCATAACATAAGGACAAAGACAAATCGTAAAAACTATTGTGTATAGGATATTCCGCTCTTGCTATTTGCATTGTCTCCATAGCGGAGCCCTCGAGTTTGAAGACAAATTTTAAATGGCTCCGCTCCGGAGCCCTCGAGTGCAAAGAGTTAATATTATTCAAGCGAGATTTGTCTATGTTTATAAGAACCTCGAAAACTTTCTTCTAAAAAGGAACTTGTTTCAGAGAGAGCTTAGTCTTTATCGGAGAGTTTGCTGCTAAAAGATGTACGTGCAGTGCGAGTCACTTTTGACAAATTTTACATAATATTGTTACGTCCGAGTAAACTTCACAACTCCTTTCCCTTTGCCATGAAATTGTCGTGTGCTCCGACGATCAGTGACGAAATCGTATACACGACGAGAAAGCGAGAACATAGTTCGAACATCGGAAGCGTGGTACACGGCTGATAGACACGTATTTTCAACCGTGAGAAAGGAAATGATAAGAAATGTACATGGATGACAGGTGAGTCATGAGTCAACAATTAACCGTCATTCATGCGAACCGATATCACTACCAGTTTTCGCAACTTGAGGGTAATTCTAAATCAACGACATAATCGCGTCGACTAGATGAGTAAACATGGTGCTATGAAAGAATGCTTGAACGAAGAGAATATCACGAAAATATCCTGAAAAACACCAGATACCAACAATCGCAAACGCCCGTCGGCGTTAACGATAATGGTACAGATAAAAATAAAAAATAACGTAACAAAAGAGAAACAGATACGGACGGAAGATAAAATTTCGCCGATATAAAAAATGAACTAAGCTTTTAGTAACTTCTAGAATACCTTGCCTCCTGACAAAAAATGTGTAGTAAGCAGAATTTCAGGAAACATTGTAACACGTTCTCGAAGCTTTCATAGCGGAGTCTCTCTCTCTCTCTCTCTCGCTCTCTTTCTCTCATTGACATTTTGTTGTACCGTCATATTATATACACTGTCACCCATAAATTCGTTGACATCGTCATAAGTGATCGTGATCGAGTGTAAAATTAACTCTGTTAGCGGGGTTAACTAATCAACCAAGTTCAACGACCGATGCAACGACTATCATGGTAGTTGGGACTTTCCAGACCAAGTACGTTAAATTTATTTACGTCACAAGTAAGATTTAACTTTCTTTTCCCCTATTCTTCGTTCTTTCCTGTTTACAGTGGCATATTCGCCTCCTACACCGAGACCCATCTAATATGCGCTCCCCTGTTTTCATCATTCATAGTTCTTTTTCTCCTTCGAGCGCTCAAATCTAAGAGCTCTCCTGATCAACATGCATCTTCACACATAGGCAATAACGTGCATATTTTACTGAATTCCAACTTGTGAATAAAAGAAGCAGATACCTGTCGCTTTACACGGAAAGACGTCTATGCGTGCGTTTTGTAATATCAATTGCGACAACTTTTTATTGTAATGCCAAATTTCGTTCCGTAAATAACTATAAATTGACAAAGCAAAAATTTCAAGCATAGTATACCAATCGTAAGCCTTAACATTTATTCATCAGGATTTTCTATGATTTTTAATTTTACGCATATGCGTCTAAGATTAAAAATCCTGCAAGCAATCCTAGTTATAATGTCGAGACAGATGTAACACCCGCAGTAAGTAACTTCATATATTTCATTTCCTTTATCCTTTGTCAATTAAACGTTTCTTTTATTTTACGTCTTTTTTTTCATGTTCTCTCGACCTCTATTTAACGCGTTTCGAGATTCCTTAGTCCGGGTGAGAAGTTCTTTGATCTAAATAAAGGAGAACCGACGAATGACGTTTGCCGAACGAAGTATATAAAGTCGACCGACCCTTCAGATCGTTGACTTACAGACCTGCTAGAACGTTCTCTCAGGCAATAACTCCTACGTTTCCATTGCCTGTGAGAAATTCTGTTGCGTTGCCGGATGTAACAATATATCGTAATATATTGTAATTACAATCTCAAAAATAAGTTGCCTCTGCGGAAAAAAGAACAAGCTTAAATTTCACTAGTACAACCTTTGCTGACGTCGAAAGCGGAAGAATTCGTTGCATTAACGGCGCTCGCGAAGACTTGATGAAATTTCGCCGGTTCTCCCGTCATAACGTGTCTTCTACATTCCGGGGCGTAATAAAGTTCGTCTTCGGGGCAACACTTTCTGACGCAGGCGTTTCTGTCGCAGTATTCCCGGCCTCTGCAGACGCGCGCTATCAATCTGCGATCGGACGCGGAATACGGCGTCACATCGAAGCATGCGTTATCCTTGGTAACGAAATACTCCTCATTGACGACGGAATCGTGCTCAAGTGCCGGAATCATCACCTGTCAAATCATTCGTTACGTCATGTAACTTCGACCCGCGTCAACGCCCGCGAAAGAGATGAATGGCCGCTGAGTTTTTAACGTCACGCGAAATCATGAATAATTCACGATATGCGAGAATGAATTCTATTTTGGGAGACACATCCGTAAAAAAGAAAGAGAAAGAACGAGAACTGTGAAAATCATAATATAAGGAGGATAATATATGGCGGTGTAATCGATGCAAATTAATTTCAGGTAACGACGACGCGTAAACCTCGGACGAATAGTTACACTTTGAAATTCCTGGAAAGTCAACATTGTAAAATTATTATTTCGAACTCCGGCACGCGCGCACATCGATTTTCACGCTGTTTTTCGTCTCCGCCGCTCACCGAGTAAGTATCGTTCCGCAAAATGACGTCATCCTCGTCGATTTCGTAATCAACGATCGGACCTTCGCATTTGGGCAGGCCCTCCATAATTATCACCACACGATCCCCGTCGACGGACTCACTCAACGGCAAAAACGTGAAGAGGCTCGGTGGTTTATGTGACTTGGTCACGCAAGCTCTCATGCGTCTGTCGTACATTGTGTCACGAGGGCAACACTTTCTGACGTGCGTGATCTGCGGGAAAGACTCGTTAATCACTTTCACTTGCCGGTCCTTGCTGGACCGACAATGAACGACTATCACGTGGCTCTTCCCGGTTTCCTGAACGTAAAGTATCTCGAGACAGGCCGGCACCTGCAAACGTTTCATCAAATCTGTCAAAAGAGGGACTAACGTTCCTATATTTAACCCTGATACGTATATATATATATATATATATAATCGATTGCTCGCGCGTGCGATTGGGATTGAATTGGGGGCGATCCGATTATGGTCGCGTCGGTCGACGTCCGCCGGATAGAGAAATCCCGGCGAGATAAAATTGTATCTGCTTCCGAGTACAAAGTTGCATCTTCTCTCGTTGACACGTCTATTCGCTCCCGTTTACGTATTTTATATATCGCACAGTTATATATATCTTCTAATAACGTGGAAAAAATATAATACCCAAGGGCATGCTCTTAATTATCAAATTAAAGGAGTGGTTAATTCATTTAACGACATTCGACACTTGCTATTTCGAGCGAGAAGCCGAAGCTCCGATGCAATTGGGATCGCAGACGCGGACAATCGATCTAACCACCGGCGACACGTGATTTACCTCCAGGTACTCGCCGAGAACGAAGTCATCGAGTGCCGTTGTCACCAAGTCCTCCGGCTCGTCGCACTGCGGATGTCCTTGGGGCTGCGCGGTCACGTTCAAGTGAAGAACACTGAGCTCCATCGCGTTATCCGACAGCGAGACGCAGTTCACTTGGGAGGAACCGGAGTAAAGCTGGCCCGGCGGGCAACATTTCACCAGGTGTGACTCCGACGAGACCGGCGAGATCGCCGAGAGCGAGGCGAAACCGAGAAAAACAAACTTCGCGGCGCTGAGCATGGCGCGAAAGCTATAATTACTCGTTTGTCCCGCAATCCGCAGCCGATTGTTATCCTCCGCTCGTGCAGCGTCGCTCGACATTGCGACTCTCGAAATTGCTGCTCTCCGGGTTTATCACTTCCGCCCGCTGGCGGATGTTCTCCGGGAGCGTGACTTAACTCTTTAGCCGCTCGTCGTATTATTACCTATCGTATTATTACGGCCCGTCGTCGTCGGTTTGTCTTCCACGAGGATACGTCGCGCGCGTCATCGATCGATGCGCCTCGCGATCCGTTGTCTTTTCCTCTTCCTCCTTCCTCTTTCGGAAGAGACGCTTCGGTCCAAACTGAACTTCAAGTTAACTTCGAGCCAACTCAGAGTTTAGAGCTCGCTTGTCTCTCGGAATAAATGCAGATCGAGGACGTACCTTCTCCAGCGCGCGTTGTCCGACGCGAAAACACGCGGCTGCAATTTTCAATTCGGACGAACGCCAACGTATCATCAGCGCGCTCGCGAGTCCGCCGACGCGTTTTTTTCCCTCCTTTTCCCTTCTTTGGATTCCCTTCCCCGAAGCCGCAGTTTCGAATTACATCTGCGTCATGCGAACCGAATTCCCGGACAGTCGGGTTACGCCGAATGAAAACATCGCCCCGATCGCGGCGAGTACGCGGAGCAACGTTGAATTATTACTCGCCCGCACTCAGCGTTTAATCGTTCCCGCGCGCCGGAACTTATATCGCTACGATGTTAGCCTCCATTTTGTAGCCTGGCTTGTGGCGAGGCCAAGTTCTTCAATCTTCTTGTATCTTTAAAACCAAATCGTCAAGTGCTTAAAAAGCTCGGCATCGGCGAGTCCCTCGTATATATCCTCAGATACTCCACCCGATCTCCCCAGAGTCTACTTAACCTATCACGGCTTTCCGTGCCGGGATAAGCAGGTGGTTAATTAATGCTTCATCGAATCGCTTGTTCGCACCCGGCCGGCCCGAGCCGACCCGTTCGATTTGGCTAGCCTTTTCTTCCTTAGTCTCTGATCGTCCGGTCCACCTCGGGCGAAGTTAAATACCGGAGCGTCCGCGTGCTTCTCCATCGGCGGCGTCCGATCGGCGAATCAATCGGTCGCTCTGATCGCCCGAGAGACCCTCCGCTTTCTTTCCTCGAGCACGCTCGACTAATCGATTTTACAACGTCCTTCGCTCGTCACTTCGCAATTAACGTGATTATCTCGGGCGTTCGCGTTACCGGACGTTTCACGTAACGAGATCGCGACGCGGCGAGGACGCGCTTGAAACTACGCGCTCCTCTCCTCCCGGCGGTATCGCGACAACATGGCAACGAGAAAAAGAGAGACAGAGCGGGAAAAACTAGCTAGTGGCGAACTTCAAACGCACGCTTCGTTAACCAACGGCACCGGATGCGCGCGAATAATTCGCACGAGGAGTTACCGTCTTCCACAACCGCTCGGATTCATCTGCCACCTCTCTTCCTCCTCGTCGAGTCCGCGTTTCCCCTCTCTTCACGGCCTATTAAGTCACCCACTCGCTCATTCATTCGACATATACACGTACATGTACACTCTCTTCTTCCACGTACCGTCTGGTTTTCCTCTTACAGTGCCCCTTACGCTCTTTCGTTTTCCTTTTGCTTAAATTCTTCTTTCCCGCCTGACCTTCCCCTGGAAGAATCTTGAATCCCAACTGAGGGCCCGTAACTTTTTCAGAAATTTTTACCCTCCCCTTCTAGAATAAGAATTGTAATCGAAATGCAAAATGAAACTTTACCGCGGCCACGCGCGAAGGTTCACGTGTCAGTTGTTTCTGACGTTATTCCGGGAATTAATCTTCTCTAGTCTTTCCCATTCATCACTGATGTCGGTCGGTTGATATCAGCGTGAAAACACGGTCGCAGCTCTTTCTTCCTCTTCCAGGCGAATTTTCATTCCCCCACTTTTTATTTACATGGCAATTTTTTGAATAAATTTTACTGACTCAACTCTTCCCATTGCCATCTTAAGAGAAGCGATCCCCTTTAACTGGAGAGTTCTCTTCACGAATTTATTCGAGAGCGCAGTGTTACGTCCTGCGTGCCTCGCGAACAACGAATCTTTTTTTTTGACTGGGAAACGCATTTGGGCAAGTGATACCCGGAAATAAAAACTATATAACGTAACATAGCCAAAGAGGCCAACCTGATGCGGAAACGTTGGGCCGTCGATAAAACTTAGATTTATAAAATCACGATAACGCTCCATCAAATATGTCACGTGTTTCCCAACGCATCTATTATACGAATAACATAGCAAGCAAACGCAGCGATCCCCTCTTTCGCCTTCACGTGCGCTCTTTATGAGGTACATAGTCCAAGCGATCAACCAAATGTGGGCCCTTCAATAAAATTTAGATCCGAAGATTATTTATGAAATCCCGATAATGCCAAGTGTTTTCCAAACCGTCTGTTCCACAAATTGCATTAGGAAACTTCCCAATCTCCCAGATCTCTCTTCCACGAAAATTGTCCTCATTGGCAATCGTTATCTGCCACTTCCAAAATTCTCCCTATAAAAACCCTACTTTCTTGCCGCCGCGACACACTCTACTTTCTGACTCTCTGTGGCAGCCGGAATCAATCTCGTAGTAGTAAACAGTGTCTCTCTAAATACCCCACGGTATTTCTTTAGTAGATTTACTAAATGAAAAAATTTCTCGGCTCGACACTTCGGCATAGTGCTATGATTCTATCGTCGCGAATGCATCTGTCATCCAGCCGATTCGTTCACAAATTGAGTCACGAGACGACAGCCCTCAAGTTAGCCCTCGATCTTAAGGATCTTAGAAATCCGGTCACCTCGATCAACGAAGCCATGTTCTACGTACTGTTCACCACAGTCGATCCACCTAAATTGTAAGTCTTTATTTCATATTTAAACATGACTTTTAATAATTTCACTCCAATCTCCAATCCCACTTCACTCCTTAAACACACACATACAAAGCGTAATTATTATCTTCCTTGTATTATGTAATATTGTTTTTCTCACCGGTTATGTTAAACATTCTTGTCACGTTGAATTCGATTATATTACATTAAGTTACACGGATTATTTTTCACTTAATCTTACTTTAATCTTCATCTTTTATTTACATTATTCCAATAATACTGATTTATAAAAGTTTGTTTAATGTTAACGCATATTTCTCATTGTTTAACTTTAGCTAACCGTTTCATCTTCTAAATATTGTATTTTTTACAATGACTTTCTCAATTTATCACTATTGTTAATCCATGTGAGAAGCAAATTATATTATTAGTATAATTAATAAACTCTTTTATTCAAAATGTCCTAAATTTAACTAAGTTTGTTACATTTATTCATTCATTTCCTTTCAATTATTTTAATCAGAAATCCCATTTCAGCACTCTCAAATGGTCCTATCCCAGTTAGAGAGATTAAGAGATTATTCTTTGACCTAAATAAAGAACCACCTAACGTACGTTCTGCGATCGGAGTAAATGGGTCTTTCCGGGCCTCGACCTGATCTGCAGACCTGCCAGTACGTTTAGGCCTCTCGAGTGCGCGAGTATGCGACGTTTTGTTGCGTACATTCTCTTCCAGGACGTAACAGCAGAAATATATTGCGATTTTGATCCAAAGCGAATGACACTCCGGATAAGCCAGCTGTGACAATCTTTCTATATCTGAATCAGTATAAGTATAGCCATTATATTTTCATCGAATTTCTGCTTTCCATTATGAAAATTGCGAATAGTAATTTTACAAAGAGCGATCTCCTCCCAATCTCAATTTTAATTCGGTAAATCCTAAATTTCCAATGTCATTCGCGCATTCTAAAAGTGAACGCGCTTTTCCCCTTAAGCATGAAACCAAAATAATGGTTTCCGTCTCCTCACTCCATCTGTTATCCCGAGCGATTAAATTAAATTGGGAAAAGAACTCTCTCGGCGGAACGCATCCATCAAAAGTGCCCGGCCTCAATTTATAACTTAATTCACGATAACCTTGCGCATCATCCGGTCCGTTTTGTCTTTCCTCCGATATTTTCACGATTATTATTATTGTTCTATTTTCGGAAAGACTTATCTGATGCTGCAGCTGCTGAAGACTCCGCTGCGTCACCTAGAGCTCTTCGTCACGGTGCCGCCGATATCTCCACGAATTGCGTTTCCCTTTTCCATTGTTTCTTACGCAATCGTCTGATTTCCTGCATCGCGACAGGTAGTGCCGTAAATTTTATGGTAGGCTCCGGTGTCTCAAAGACGCTTCTAATGTCGGAAAGCCCCTAATGAGAATTGAAAATCAGAATGTCCTGCAAAAATCGGAATACACGCAATAATAAGGAAAAACTCACGAAACGATAACACCTTGCTCTTTTTATCGGCGAGTCCACTATACTATATACTAACTCTTTTTCCACTATACTATTGTTACGTCCTGGGTGTCTGGGAAACTACGAATTTCTTTTTTTTAATTATATGATTGGGAAACAGACGGACTTCGAGCAAGCGCTACTGTAACAAAGATAAGATTACATTGGCAGCCGCTAAACGTGCCGTATGGTTCCCAATGCGTTTATCATTCATTTCGCCTTCATGTAAGGTATGTAGTTTATTTACATCCTGGGTACCCCGGGGACGATAGATTCGTTTTTTTTATATAACTAAGATATCTTGCCGCCTCTACGTTAGGCACATATGTGTCCATACTGAGTACCTAGATAGCAACGAATTCCTTCTCTTATGATTATAAAACAAACAGATTTGATCAAGCGGTTTATGAAAAGATACGAGTACACGCCGTCCACATATGTCATAAGGCTCCCGATGGGGCTGCGATCTATCCACCCTTGTACACAGTCGGTAGAACAAGGGTCCTCCTATGCAATTAGGTTCTTAACATTGTTTATATTAATACTAGGAATTTTCCAGAGTAACCGTCTTCCACCACGCAATCTCCTCTCATTGGTGGATGTCATCCACCACCCCCTGAAATCCTTTCTATATAAGCCTTACCCTTTTTGCCGCGAGGGCAGTTACAATAGTAGTTTTTCTTGCAGTCAGTCAGTCAGTCAGTCAGTGACAGTCACAGTTACAATTACAGTTCAGTCTAGTTTAGTTCAGTCCAGACCAGTTCAAGTTCAGTACAGTACAGTCGAGTCCAGTTCAAGTTATAGTTACAATTAGAGTTACAGTCGCAGTCACAGTTGCAGTTCTTAGTGTCAGTTCTTAGTTAGTCAGTCTTAGTTCAGTCTTCAGCAGTCCACAACCATAGTCTAGTCCAGCCTTCGTCTTCGTCTTCATTCGTCCTCGTCACTCTATTGATTCATGTAAATCGTAAGTTTCCATTTCATATTTAAACATGACTTTTAATCATTTCAATCCAATTTCCAATCCCACTTCATCCCTCAAAATACATACCTGCGCTGCGTGATTATTGTTTTCTTTGTATTATATAACGATGTTTTCCTCGCTATACCGATATGTTAAACATTCTTGTTGCGTTATATCCGATTGTATTAAATTAAGTTATACGAATTACCTTTTTGCTTAATCTCATTTTAATCTTCATCTTGTATTTGCGTTATTCCAGTAATGTTGATTTATAAAAATTTGTTTAATGTTAACCCACATATTTCATTGTTTAACTTTAGCTAACCCTTTCATCTTTTAAATGTTTTATCTTTTACAATGACTTTTCTTATCAATTTACCACTATTATTAATCCATCCGAGAACCAAATTATGTCATTAATAAACTGTTTTATTCAAAATGCCCTAAATTTAATCAAGTTGTTAAAACTATTTATTCATCTCCTTTCAATTACCTAAATCTAAATTCCCCTTTCAACGCACTCATATGGTCCTATCCCAGGTAGAGAGATTAAGTTCTTTGACCTAAATAAAGGACCACCTAACGTACGTTCTATGATCGGAGTAAATGGGCCTCTCCGGACCTTGACCTGATCTGCAGACCTACCAGTACGTTTAGGACTCGCCAGTGCGCGAGTAAACAAATTTTGTTGCGTTCGTCCTCTTCTAGGACGTAACACTATATACTAACTCTTTTTTAAAAAAATCGCTTCCCATTATTAGAAATTACCTTCGCTTCTCCTATAAAAATCCAGTCTTTCGCTGCTTTTACTATTGCTTGTATCTCCATAATTCAATGACTTCTGCTTAGACACTCGAAGATTCATTTTTTTATTCTTTAACCACGTGTATTTGTACATTCGTTCATGAGTACCCGAACGCAATAGAGGCAGTGATGTAATTTATCCCCGGGCTTACTAGCATTTTTTTCCTTTCATTATACACGTTCCATCTATTTGTGTAACAATGCACATTGTGCGCATAACTCGTGCGGAAGGAAACTCCAGAAATACGAACAAATTACTGGTATTCAGTCGAAGAACCGTAGTTTCTCAATAGCGTACAGGT